AAGCCTGTTACTCAGACTGATAAACATGTATGCTTTTTTTTTTTTTTTTTTTTTTTTTTTTTTTAATATTCAGGCTTTCACTGTGACTTTAGAAGTCTTCACAAGTTGCCAGGGAAAAGATCCTTTTCTGTGCATTCTGGACTGCACATTAGATTCACACAAGTTTTAAAATAACCTCCAGTTGTTTGGTCTCATCTGGTCTGGGTGGGCAACCAGGCTTTGATACTTTTTTAAAGGCTCCCTCTCTGAGTGACTTTAAAGTGCAGGCGAGATTGATGGCCACTGGTTTTGTTAAAAGGAGTTGGCATTAGGCGAATGTCAGGAAAGAAAGCAATGGGATCAAAAACGTGTGTGTGTGTATGTGTGCATGTGTGCAAGCACATGTGAGCATACGCACACACACACACTTTCTCGTTCTTTTCTTGACCTGTGCTTTCTCCTTTCCCCCATCATTGGCCTGGGTAGTCCAGAGATGCCTATAATTAACTGCTAAAACAGTCGTTGTCCTCCTAACCTTCGTAACTCACTATTTGGTTTGTCGTGGTTTGTGTCTGGGTGTCCCTCCAAAGCCTCGTGCCGTCATGGGGCGGGCTTCTGGAGTTTATGATTGATCCACGGTCCAGTGCTGGGATTATGGGTGTGAGTGCTATGCCTGCCCTAGGGCGGGTAGTTTGCATACAGTGTAAGGGAGGAAAGGAGGCTGCTTCCCCTCCCCGCTTTTTGCTCTTGCTGCTTTTGTTGTCTTCCACTGCCAAGAACCGTTGCCCTGTTCCATGTGCCACTCTGCCTTGGAGCCAGCTGAGTGTGGACTGAAACCTCCACAAACCACGAGCTAAATAAACCTTTCCTTCCTTCATTTTGGGCATTGGGTATTTTGTCTCAGCAAGGAGAGAAAAGTAACCAAGACACTGTTCCAGTTCGAAGTGCTTCCAGTGAGACCTTTAGTGACCCACACCATGCACAGAGTAGAGCCTGGTTGTGGTGTGACTGTGTGTGTGTGTGTGTGTGTGTGTGGGAGGGGCAAAGATAGCAGTTGTGTTGGTCCCGCTCTCAAGAGAGAACTTTGCCCAGCTGATTCATTGACGTGGTGGTTCTCAGCGGTGGTTCCCCATTTAACTCACCTGGCTCCATCCCCAGAACTCTGATTTCCTTCCCGAGTGGCCAGGACATGGGGATTTTTAAGCTTTTCCAGGTGATTCCCGCGTGTGTCTCTGCTAAGGCTGTTCCTGCTGTTCTTCCCTGGCAGGATAACAGTGCCGAAGGTCTCAGAAGAGCAGAGGAGAAGCGTCCCCTTCCAGCTGCTGCTGCTGCTGGAGAAGATGCAGGACGGCCGGCAGAGGGCGGTGCGGCCCACGGAGCTGGCCAGCTGCCTGCAGAAGAACAACGTGCCACGTGAGACACAGGCCGGGGCTCTGGGTCCCGCCTGCTGAGCTATAGGGCTGGGAGCCCAGGAGAGGGGGGAGCGTGGCTCATGGGCACAGGTGAACAGGAAGGAACTGGACGGCTGCTAGACCGCTTGGGGTGGAGGCCGTAGGGTGGACCTGAAATAGTTTTGATTTTTTTTTTTTTTTTTTTTTACTTTTCAAAAATAAAATCCTACTTGGGTGTGATGGTGCACGTCTGTAATTCCAGCATTTGGGAGGCTGAGGCAGGAGGATCACAGTGAGTTTGAGACCAACCTGGGCTACACAGTGCATTCAAAGCCAATCTGAACAACATAGTGAGACCCTGTCTCAAAAAAACAGAAAAGAAAAGAGCCTATTTTAATAGGTATTTTTGTGAATATTATTGGTTTACTATTTTTTGAAATGGTTTTCTTTTAAAACAAGCATAACTACATATTTAAAGGGTATAGGGCAACCACGTGATACATTTACACAATGTGTAATGATCAAATCACAATAATCAACATTTTCCTCTCTTTAAACACTTTCTTTGAGTTCAAAAACTTTGAACTCATCTTTTTTTCAGCAGGGGTGGGGGGCGTCGTACTGGGAATGGAACTCAGGATCTTGCGCTTGCTAGGCAGGAGCTGTACTGCTAAGCTGTATTCCCAGCACCCCCTTTGTTTTGTTTTTTTGAGATAGGGTCTCGCAGGCTGGCCTTGAACTCACAGCAGTTCTCCTGCCTCAGCCTCCCGAGTGCTGGGATGACAGGCGTGCACCACCATGAACTAATTTATATTTATTATATAAAATGTATAGTAAATGGTTATGAACCATAATCTCGTTACTGTGCTGTGGCACATTAGACCTTTTTCCTTCTACCTAGTTGAATTTTAGTGCCTATAACATACCCTCCCTCCATTCCCCCTGCGTTCGTCCCTTCCTATTCTCCAGTGACCACTATTCTACTCTCTAGTGATATGAAATCAACTATGTAGTTTCTTCACATAAGTAATAACATGTGGTGTTTCTCTTGGGGCTGGGGATTTAGCTCAGTGGCAAAGCGCCTGCCTGGCAAGCGCAAGGTTGTGAGTTCAATTCCTGGTACTGGAAGAAAGACAAACAAACAAACAAACGTGGTGTTTCTCTTCCTGTGCCTGATTCATTTCACTTAGTGTTCTCCAGTTCCATCCATGCTGCAGATGACAATATTTCATCTTTTTAATTGCTGGATAGTTTTCTGTTGTATATATACACCACATTTTAAAAGTTCATTCGTCCTTATATGGACACTTAGGTTGTTTGCATGTTTTGGCTGTTGTAAAGAGTGTTGCAATAAACATGGGAGTGTGGATATCTCCTCACTCTGCTGTGTCTGTTTTTAATGCCAGTACCATGCTGTTTTGGTTACTGTTATTTTGTAGTACTTTCAAAAAACTATCTCTATCTCTTTGCTGAATCTCTCATTGATATCATGAGTTGTCTTCTTATTTTCATTGAATTATCTGACTGTATCCTCTTATATCTCATTAAATTCCCTTGATGATGCTCTTTTGAATTCTTTTTAGGCAGTTTGCCAATTTCCCTTGCTTTGGAGTCATGGCTAGAGAGTTACTGTGTTCCTTTGGAAGCTTCTTGTTACCTTTTTTATTCGTGCTTCCCATGTCCCTTTGTTGGTATTTGTGTATCTGGTGGCTCACTTGTCTCTACCAAAAGGTGCATATTCTTGTCTTCTTCCAGATCTTAAAGGGAAAACTCCATTTTTTCCTTGTAGAATATGATGTTAGCTGTGGGTTTGTTGTACATGGGGCTTTATTTATTGCCAACACTGTCACTGCTTGGTGGAGCACTTTTCTGAAGACTGTCGTTTCTCCTATTTCAGTCGTATTCCCACCTTCCTTTAGATCTCTGTAGCAATTTGTGTACCTTAAGGAATTTTTCTTATCTTTCTTCAGCTCATGATCATTTAGATGCTGTTCTTCATTCGAATACTATACAGGTTTATTGGGGACAGGAACTTCCTTCAGCGTGTGTAATGCCTTACACATAGCTGTTGTTGGGTACACAGTAGGATAGGCAAGGATCCCTGTATTTCTCAGGTGAATGACGCTCTTGGTTCTGGGAGGGACAGGTGAGGACACACTGTCTCTATATGTAAATTTTTTTTGAGGGGGTACCGGGAATTGAACTCAGGACCTTGTGCTTGCCAGGCAGGTGCTTGTGCCGCTGAGCTATATCACTGGCTACACTGTCTCTATATGGCAACATGATCTGGCTTCCTTTCCACTGAGCATCAGCTGTGTGGCTGGAATCCTTCTGTACCAGAGAGCATCAATTTGTTTTTGGCACCAGGACTCGAACTCAGGACCTTGCACTTGCCAGGCACACGCTGTGCTACCACGCTGTACCTCCGTTCCAGACAGCATCATTTGAATCTTACTATTAGACCGTTTGTCTTTGAGCTTCAGGCTCACTGTGTTGGAAAATAGATTGATTAATCTACTCAACTGGTAGGCAGTGGTCATCCGTTGCATGCTAGGCATTGTGGTATTGCTGGGCAAAAGGAAATAAGGCGGACGGAGCCTTTGCCTCCTCGGAGCTATTGTTTAAAGGCAACGAGCCAAAACCAAAACTGAAACAAAATAAACAGAAAAATGTTAGGTACAAGTTGGGATATTATTCAGGAGGGAAAATGGTGCTGAGATGGCAGACTTAGCACATATCAGTGACTGCCTTTCCTTGCAGCATCTTTGCATTTTGGCATTTATCTGTCCTTCTGGAAGATAGTCTCAGTGTGTGTTTCATGTTCGTCCACTTCTTAGTCCTCTCCTAACAGCGCTGTTGCATTCACACCTGGTTCAGCCTTACCTTTACCTGGTGGCAGGTGTGGAAGCCACAGCCGAGTTCCGGCTCCGTCCCCGCCTGCATTGCATGGGGCTAAGTGGGTCCCGCTCTCCTTGCCTTCTTGGTGCTTTGGGGAAAACCTGGGTCAGATGCAAGAATTGTGAAGCACTCAGGCTTTAACGCAGTGAATAAAAAGTACATCAAGGGCCAGAGGAATGAATTGCTTAGTCAGAGTGATGGCCTAGGAGAGCATTCCTGGGACTGTCTAGCTGGGCCTCCTTGTAGCGGCCAGGAGAGCTGGATGGAGAACAGAAGGGTGGGAAATGTGTGTCATATCATGGGACTGTGGCTTGAGTTTTAAGAGACACTGTCAACTGGGTGTGGTGGCTCATGCCTGTAATCCCAGCACTCGGGAGGCTGAGGCAGGAGGATCATTGGGAGTTCAAGACCAGCCTGGGCTACAAAGTGAGCTCAAGGCCAGCCTGAACTGCACAGCGAGACCCTGTCTCAAAAAGATACAAAAAAAATGCTAGTTAAGAGACACTCTCAAAAATACATACCAAACTTACTTTTCATGAATTGGGCACCTAACATTTAGTGAGAACGTATCCCTTTCTGGAAGGTTAGGAATGACAGAATGGTGTCACGGTAGCTCAAGCGCAAGGGCACGAGAAGTCTCCGGTGACCTCGCTGACTGCTGTTGCTTCTCTTTGGCCAGTGTTTGTCCAGCACGATGCTGCTCAGCTCTACCTTACCGTCTGGAACCTAATCAAGGACCAAATCACGGACGTGGATTTGGTAAGCGCCCGGAACTAGAAAACTCAGAAATTTAGGATGTTGCTCGTGGAAGTCATTCAACTAATTGTTTCTGCAGTGTGTAGAGAAGTATAAAGGACTTAATCCACCTAGAATCCTTATCGCAGTCAAATAGCGTAATTCCTATTGCTCTTCTGCACCTTCTGTGTGGTGCTTATTACTTGTAGAGCTTCTGTCTGGTGAAGCCAGCTTCTGGAAATTGGCCTGACCTGGTGTATAACTTTTTGCCTGTCTTACCTGTCCCTTACTCCCTCTTGCAGGCAGAGAGGCTGCAGGACTTGTACACCATCCGGGTGAAAGAGACCTTGGTATGCCTAGATTGCTCCGTGGAAAGCAGCAGAGATAGTAGCTTGCTGACCCTCCCTGTTTCTCTTTTTGATACGGATTCAAAACCCCTTAGAACACTGGTGAGAAACTTCTTGGTGAATTTGTACAACCCTGCCAGCTGCCCCTCTCCACTTAAAAACTTCTTGGTTTTAAGAAATAAATTTCAGTTGCATGGCCCTGGTCCATTTCTCCTTTTCCCCTCTGTCTTAGTTACTTTTCTTGTTGCTGAGACAAAATACCCAACACCCAAAGCTAAGGGAGGAAAGGTTTATTTAGCTCACAGTCTGTAGAGGTTTCGGTCCATAATTGGCTGGCTCCAAGGCAGGGTGACATCGCAGAGGAGAAACAGTTCATGGTGGGCAGAAGGCAGCAAAAGCAACAAGAAACGATCACAACTTTTTCTCTCCCTAATATCTTATCCAGGGCAGCAGTCACACCCTTAATCCTCATGCCCTTGATTCTAGCATTGCCATGAATTGATCCCAGTGTCACACACTCTAGATCCAGGTACCTCTGAAAAAGCCCCACCTATGACTGCACAAGGCTTTGGAGGGACATCTGGACACAAGCCAGAACACCCTCCTATTCATTTTCCTCGCACTGTCCCCATAACAGGTATCTCCCCATCTCTCTGGTCTGTGGGTTCTTTGTGCCATCCTGCCAAATGGCCCACACCAGGCCAGGCATTTGGAGCATCTGACGAAAAATGGAAGCAAAGCTTGAGTCTCCACTAGCAGGATGTGGGAGTGAGGGGTTACAGCTTGATGGCAAACACCAGCATTGCCTGTGTTTTGTTCTTCTGGTGGGACAGGAGGATGCCCTGCGCCATTTCTTCCAGTCCAGGGAGCTATGCAAGAAAAGCAAATGCTTCTGTCAGAACTGTGGGCAGAAGACACACAGGAAACAGGTATTCACTCCCTAAATGCAAATCCTTCACTAATCTGGGGGTGCCCCCAGGGGATTTCCCCATGGAGCCTTCCCAGACCCCAGCTGAAGGAGGGAATCTGAGTCAGGTTAATATCTGGGATCCTGGTTAATATCTGGGATCTCTGGATATCTTCTGATTTCCAGAGCTGTGCATGTAGCTTCTCAGATCACATCACTGAGGGATGAAGGCTCTTAGGAGAGGAGAAGGTCCAAGAGCAGTGGGTAGGATTTTTCCCTAATGGTTCGACCAGCTCCCTAGTACAGACTCCATAGTTTTCCAGGTGTTGGGCACCTGGGCAGAACCTGGGGGCCTCCTGTGCCTTTGTGGGGGGCCATGCAATGGTGAGATAGTCAGGTGTCACATTAGTCTCGGAGGAGTTCAACAGATGCTGTGGATGGGAGCCTTTAACCTTGTGTTATATCTTCTTGGGCTGGTGAGAAGAACATACGACCAGCCCTGTATTTCTCTGAATCTGCTCATTTCAAGTGTCTTAGGACTTGATCTCCATCGTGATTTTGTTTTTCTAAGGCCTTGAAGCTGACCCGTTTGCCCCAGACTTTGACCATCCACCTCATGCGGTTCTCCATCAAGAATTCAAGGACAGAAAAGGTCTGCCATTCGCTGTATTTCCCCGAGAGCTTGGATTTCAGCCAGGTTCTTCCTAGCGAGCAGCACACAGGTGAAGCAGAGGAGCAGGTGAGATGCTGCCTTCTGTCCTCACCAGTCTTGTCCCACACCACATCCCGTAGATCCAGCCGCCTCGTACCCAGCAGCTTCCAGAGTGGTCAGTTCTTAGCTCCAGGTTCTTACCCAGACCACGCTGTGATATTAGGTTCCAGACCAAGAGGCAGAGTTGAGCGGCCTGATGCTGGACAAACACTGGCCACAGAGAAAAGAGCAGCCCCGTCAGTGAGGCCGGTGTCCTCTCTGTCACCTCTCATCCAAGACCTCATGCCCTCTGCACATTTGAGATCTGCAAAGAATCAAAACAAGCCACACCTTGGTGTGACTCAAAAAGCACACATATATTCAAGACACATTTACTCTTTAAGCGGTGTCTTAACAGTGGAAACCTGTCTGCTCTTGACTAACGGTGGTAGCTTGTGATCGCCCTACTGTCACCTCTAGCCTTTGCTGGGTGCAGTGGCTTTCCTTTTCTTTTAAAGTGCAAAATCCTTCCTTATTTTAACTATTGCGTTTGTGAGTAAACTATTGGCTTGTTTGAACTAAGGGAAGGAACTTAAATTCAGTACTTTTCTTCTCAAAGAGTGTGCAAACTATTTACAAATACATAAGTGAATGTGATATTTTGGGTTCTAAGGATAGTACCAACTAAACTTCTTGTTAAAACAACTGTACCTCATTTCGAGGATAATAAGAAAGTAGCCAGTTGATTGGGCCACATTTATTTATTTTATTTTTTTTTATTGTCCAACCCAAGGATTGGGCCAAATTTAATCAAATGAAAGTTTAGATCAATTGTCCCAAGATAATCACTTATTGAAAGACTCTGAGAAAAAAATGACATAAATATGTCTTCTCCATAAGTATGAAATGCTGCATTTCATAGAAAATTTTGTACTCTTATATGAATGAATCTATTTCTATTTTTTTGTCTTTTTTTAATTTTTTTTTTTTTTGGTACTGGGAATTGAACTCAGGACTTCACACTTGCCAGGCAGGCGCTGTACAGCTGAGCTATATCCCCGACATCCCCCATTTTTTTTTGAAAAAAAAAAAAAAAAAAAAAAAAAAAAAAGGGTTTTGCTATGCAGTTGAGGCTGGCCTTGAACTCACTTTGTAACCCAGGCTGGCCTTGAACTTGGAAGTGAACCTCCTACCTCAACCCCGAGTACTGGGATTATAAGCGTATTATAAGCGTATTATAAGCGTATTATAAGCGTATTATAAGCGTATAGGTGTGCACCTATATTCAGTCCACAGTGGACTGAATCTGTCTGTCTGTCTATCTGTCTATCATCTGTCTATCTATCCATTTATTCATTCCTTTCAAAGGGTACTGGGAATCAAACTCAGGACCTCAAGCTTGCCAGGCAGGCACTATACCGCTGAGCTATATCCCTGGCCTGAATCTGTTTTTAGAATATTGTTGTTACATTGGATTGGTCTGTTTGTCTATTCATGCCTAATGGTATTTAAAATATTAAGGTCTGATAATATGATATATGGGTCCTATTATGACAGTTTTTTTTTTTTTAACATGTTGAGGATATCTACATTTCATAAGATCCCTTTTCTCTCCTAGTTTTCCTTATCTACCTGCCCACTCTGCTCGATAAAGTGTATTAAATTTTCTTTCCACTTCAGAAAGATCTCATTATGGAAAATTTCAGATATATACCAAAATAGTGAGGGATTGCACAACAAATTCCTGTGTGTCCAGCAAGTATCTTGGAGAGTTCTAGAAACCCCTGGCCAGTCTTTGTTACCTCCACCTCGATCCTACCCTTTCGTCTGGTCCTCTGCAAGCAAATCTCAAACATCAGACTTACAAGCATTCACTGTGTCTCACCAAAGAATAAACATTCTTTTTTAAACACAGTTCCACCTCGTAATTCTTTATTATTTTCAAATATCTAGCCAAAGATTTCCCTGACGGTTCTATAATTTGTGTGATTTGTTTGAATCTGGATCCAGAGAGGTTCCACATTTTCATTTGCTTGCCTGCCTCCCTCCCTCCCTCCTTCCCTCTCTCTCTCCTTTTCTTCCTTCCTTCCTTTCTTCCTTCCCTTCCTTCTTTCCTTCCTTCCTTCCTTCCTTCCTTCCTTCCTTCCTTCCTTCCTTCCTTCCAAGTTCATTTTAGGGGTTCCCTTCTTTTTCTTTCTTTTTTTTGTAGCACTGGGAATTGAACCCAGGGCCTTGTACGTGCAAGGCAATAGCTCTACCCCTGAGCCACATCCCCAGGCCCCTCTTTCTTTTTCTTGTGGTTTACTTAGTTGAAGTTTTTATGTCCCATGATTGGCTGATTGGTGTCATTTAACATATCTTTCTAACCCCTTTATATCTTGTAAACTGATCATTAGATTCAGAAATTGTTCACCATTTCTTTATTCCAAACCAGGGCTGTAAAAGGAGAGGTGGTGGGTGAGTCACTTTATGCCCCGTCTCCTTGCAGGATGAGGGACAGTATGAACTCTTTGCTGTGATCGCCCACACGGGGATGGCTGACTTCGGCCATTACTGCGCCTATATCCGGAATCCCGTGGATGGAAAATGGTTCTGCTTCAATGACTCCCATGTTTGCTGGGTGAGAAACATTACCCAAAAGTGCCTCTGGCCCTGGACTAGCCGCCTCTAATAAATTCTGAGCCCAGGGCTGCATGAGTCTCCAAGGTCAAACACAGTGTGTTCCTGTTCTCTCTCAGTGGGGGTGCGTGGGGGGACTTTTTAAGAGGGTTACAGCCCTTTCCTGCATGTCATCCCGATGGGGTTTGCCGCTTGGTAAGAAGCCACTGACTCCAGCGTCTAGGATTCTCAGTGCCCCGCAGCTTCACGTTCTGTGGGAAACATCTGTAAAGCAAGAAGAATGAGAAATGTATAAGTGACAACTCTGGAATAAGCATAGCCAGGTTTAAACAGAAGAGCAAGCTATTAAAAAGACTTCCTTATACCTGACATCCTATCTGAGGTCTCCAGATTCTCCGTCCAGAGGAGCGAAGGAGGGCAAATTATAGTGCCCTGCATGCTGTGGATACGTAGGCAGAGCCGGCTGGCTGCTGACTTGGACTGTTCTGCTCTTTCAGGTGTCCTGGAAGGACATCCAATGCACCTACGGAAATCACAACTACCGCTGGTAAGAGCAGTGCGTTGATGACAGACAGTGAACGAATGGACAGTGGTTCTGGGAGGTGTCCAAAATCACAGAGGGTCAGCTGCCACGTACATGCGGCTGACTCCCCGGGGCTAACTCTCCGCTTCATCTTTCAACACATGTCCCTGGAACATGCTTTTCTCACGATTGAGATGCTAGCAATACTCAAGTATAAGTAACCGTGTGCAAACACCACGTTTGCCATCTCCCGGGTCTGTGCGTGTCCGTGTCCTCTCGTAATTTATCATTTAAGCAAATTTCCCTCATGGTTCAGTACTCGTGGGCATTTCCAGCTCTGCAAACCCCTTACGGGTGGGCCAGTAGGTTTGTCGTATCTGATTTCATTGCATCTCGAGCTGTCCTCCTTTATAGTAAGGCCTGCTTTTGTAGCTTTCTTTCCGATTAAACCATACACTCTTTGGGGAGAAGTGACTACTCTTTTCATTTTGCTTTGTCTGGAATATTGGCTTGAATTTAGTAATAGCTATATCTCTCTCTCTCTATCTCTCTCTGTCTCCATCTACCTGTCTGTCTATTTATGTGTGTGTATGTGTGTCTTTTAGAGACAGAGTCTCGCTGTGCAGTTCAGGCTGGTCTTGAGCTCACTTTGTAGCCCAGGCTGGTCCTGAACTCACAATGATCCTCCTGCCTCAGCCTCCCTAGTGCTGGGATTACAGGTGTGTGCCACCACGCCTGGCTTAAATATTTTTTAAAAATCAGTAACTATAGGAGAAGCTGAAGAGAATAAAGATAAAGTTAAAGCAGAGAGACTTAAGTTTTTTTTAAACTGTTTCTAGATTAGAAATATCAATGTATATCCAAGACGATATTAGAGATGATTTTCAGTTGTAGAGGCAGGCATGATCATGTGAAAACTAATGAATTAGGTGCAGTTTGTGTTTGAAATTCTCCTTCAGCTTTCTCCTTTTCATTTTTCTGTTCTATGTCTTCTAAGCACCTGTCTTAGATGCCCGGTCTTCGTCAGCTTTGTGTCACTGGCTCTGTAAAGGGTCAGAGGAAATGGATTTTATTTTGGGGATCCTGGTCTCTTTGCAGCTATGCATTACTGCTCTTGCAGCACAGAAGAGGCTAGAGACAGTGCATAAATGAATGAATCTAACTGAGTGTGGCCTAGTTATACTCACCTGCAGAAATGGGGTTGGTTTGACTTACGGTCCCATAATTTGTCAACTCCTAATTTAGATGTTAACTTATAGAAAACTCGTGGTTATTTGCCTACGTCACCATTTTGCCCCTCTGAGGGGCTGGTGGGTGATGGGTAGATGAAGACGTGGTCCAACAGCCTGGACGTTTCCAGATGTTTGCCCTGACATGACTTAATAACGTACCATTTTGGGGCTGGGGATTTAGCTCAGCAGCACAGCGCCTGCCTGGCAAGCGTGAGGTCGTGAGTTTGAGTCCTGGTACTGGAAAACAAACAAACAAACAAAAAAAATAACATACCATTTCACTGTGACTGTTTCCTGTTGCTATGCTGAAGCATTTTTCTCTCCTTTCCAGGCAGGAAACTGCGTATCTTCTGGTTTACATGAAGATGGAGTCCTGATGGATACACTCTAAACCTTGGGAGACTGACAAACTGGTGTTTTCCTTTTCTGTTTCCTGGATCTGGTAGATTCTTCCAAGAGATTCTGCAGTGAGACGAAGCATAATTTTCTGCTGTATAATTAAACCTTGTGCACAACTGTGAGTGACCATTGCTATGCTTTGGATGCAGCCCATGTGTGGCAGGTGGGGTCTCCAGCATGGCAGTGAGGGGCTGGTAGAAGCTCGAAGAGGCAAAGCCTGGTAGGAAGTAACAAGGTGCGTGGGATTGGCCCATCTGTACCCTGGTGGTACCCTTCCCATTTCTCAGTCACATTTTGATGAAGTGGGAAGGGCTCTTGCCAAGATGCCAGCGCCATGCTGGGTGGATCCTCCAGCCACCAGAATTGTGAACCAAATAAACTTCTTTACTTTACAAAGTACTTGATCTCAGGTGTTTTGTTACAGCAACAGAAAACAACTTGTACAGTTATCAAACTGTTTAACAGTGACACTGCACAGGCCCGAGTCAGCCACAGAGGCTATGTGGCTAGATCAGGTTCCTGAGTGCACACCTACTAAGTGGCCGACTCAAAGCTTCCAGCATAAAATGTGGATACATTTTTGCTTTTATGTTTATTGCCCACAAAAGATTATCTATGCAAGCACAAAATTCTCCTTGGATAACCCTTACCGAATCCCCTTCTTAAAATGAATCATTGTCCGTGTATATTGGTTCCATAGGGATGATGTACTACTGTAACAAATTACTACAAACTGGGTTGCTTAAAACAAAAAAAAAAATTATTGTCTCATGGTTCAGGAGACCAGAAGTCTGAACTCAGGATCTCCACAGAGTTGATTGCTTCTGGAGGCTCTGAAGGAGCCAGGTTCCGTGCCTCCCTCCCAGCCCCTGCTGGTTGTCAGCGGTTCTTGTCATGCATTTGCTCATGGCTCTGTCACTCCGGTTGCTGCCCAGCTCCACGTGGCTTATGAAGACGCCAGGCGTTGAACTTGGGGGCCACACTAATCTACTAAAACCTCATTTTTAATTGAACTAATTACACCAGCAAAAACCCTATTTCCCTGTAAGTTCACCTTCAGAAGATCTAGTGGGCATGAATTTGGGGGACACTTTTCAATGCTGTACAAGATACGGGTCCTTCTGGGCTTTTTTCTGTGCACTTGCATATCACTATATTTATAACATGAACTATACTGTACAAACTATACTCATTGCGTTTTTTTTCACTTAACTGTGTCTTAGAAAAATTTCCAAGCCTCTGTGCAGGTGGAGAGCAGTCTTTTAAAATGCTGTATTTAAGCCAAGCATGTGTGCACACCTGTAATCCCAGCACTCAAGAGGCTGAGGCAGGAGGACTGCTGTGAGTTCAAGGCCAGCCTGAACTGCACAGTGAAACCCTGTCTCAAAAAAACACATCATTTCTGGGGGCTGGGGATTTAGCTTAGCGGCATAGTGCCTGCCTGGCAAACGCAAGGTTATGAGTTCAATTCCTGGTACTGGAAACCTCCCCCCGTAAAAAGACATCATTTCTAATGTTTTTTATTACTTGTTCTTGTCTTTGTTTGATCAATCCTGCATTCTTACATCTAGCAATCTGAGCAACTTCGTTGAAGATAACTATATAATATAACAACTATTATTTATTCCTATCATCTTGTTTTGAAATCCTGTATCATGTTTATTGCGTTTGTATTGTTTTGTTTTTGTCTTCATTGTTGTTATTTTGTTATTTTTTTCTTTAAAAAAAAAACAAAAAAAGACAAAGAATCCAGGCATGGTGGCACATGCCTGTAACCCCAGCACTCTAGAGGCTGAAACAGGAGGATCCTTGTGAATTTGAGTCCAGCCTGGGCTACAAAGTGAGCTCCGGGCCAGTCTGACCTGCAGAGCAAGACCCTGTCTCAAAAAGATAAAAAAAAAAAAAGAAAAAAGAAAAAGACAAAAATAAGATGTTGTATTTGATTCTGTAATCATTGTGTACTATAAACATGTACTAATAAAAACTGCAAATTGAAGAAAACATATGATTCCATAGATATTACTGTCATTCATTTTAATCTATTCTCATATTGATATTTAGTGTATTTCTATTTTTTATACTATTAAAAATGTAGAGTGAATACTTGCATATATATATCTTTGTGCCCATCTGTAAGTATTATTGTAGATACTGAAAAGTAAAATTATGGGTCAAAGAGCATAGATATCTAAATATTATAATTAATACTGCTAAATTGACTCCAGATTAACACCAAAGGGCATTAAATTTTGTTGAATGCTTTTTTTTGTCTGTTGAGATGATCTATAATTTTTAACCTACGTATATTGATTTGTGTATGTTCAAATATCCTCAGGTCCTAAGGATAAACCCTATTTGATCATGATGGATGACTTCTTTTTTTTATTTTTTGCTTTTTTGGATGACTTCTAATGTTTTCCTAGACTTGGATTGCTTACACTTTGCTGAGGATTTTTGCATCTACATTCAGTGGTGTAGTGGTCTGTAATTTACTTTTCTTACAGTATCTTTGTCTTTGGTGTTGGGGTAATGTTGCTCTCATAAAATGAGGCTGGAAGTATTCCCTCTACAACTTTTTGAAGCATTTGAAAACAATGAGAATTACTAATATTTTGTTATATAATTTTAATAGTCATCATTTACGATCATTTGTATTTTTTTTTCTTTTTTGAGACAGGGGCTCCTTATGTAGTTCAGGCTGGCTTTGATCTCATGGTGTAGCCGAGGCTGGACTTGAACTCACAGTGGTCCTTCTGCCTCAGCCTCCGAGAGCTGGGATTGCAGGTGTGTGCCACCACGCCCGGCTATCATTTGTATTTCTGGAGTGTCAGTTTTTACTACATGTTTGCGGTCCATAATGAGTATATTCGTTGTGGGGAGCTGGCACATATACGTATCACATCTTAGTTCTTTTCATTTTCCCTTTCTCTCCCCTCCCCTCTGTCTCCATCCCTAGATCCCCATCCATTCTGCAAAAGATCTGTTTCTTATTATCTATCTTTTATTTTTCTTTATGTTTGTATTTTGGATTTTTTATTAAATTTATTGGTACATTTTAAATATACATAATGATCACTGTCATCATAGGGCTTTGTACCTGTACACAACTTAATCTCTTTTTTTTTTTTTCCAGTACCAGGAATCGAACTCATGACCTTGTGCTTGCCAGGCAGGTGCTGTGCCGCTGAGCTAAATCCCCAGCCCCTCACAACTTAATCTCAATTCCTTTTTTTTCCCATTCCCCTATTCTCTCTTCAACCCCTCTTCCCCTCCTCATTTACAAAAGCTTTGTTTCCATTTCTCCCTCTTTTTTTCTTTTCCCTTCCTTCCTTGCCCCCTCCCCTCTCTCTAATTCCCCTCCCAATTGAGCATTTTTTTTTCTATTTCATAAAGTCTAGTATACCTTCTGGTCCTTATTTATATTTTTGGTTTCTCACACCAGAGATACAACACGATATTTACACGGATAAATATGTTCAATTTATTTCACTTAAGATTGTGGTCTCAAGGTGCATCCACTTACCTATAAATGTCTCAAGCTTATCCTTCTTTATGGCTGAGTAGTACTTCATTGTATTAAAAAAATCACATCTTCATCCATTCATGCCTTGGTGGACATTTGGGCTGTTTCCTAGCAAGTATGAAGCTCTGGGTTTGATCCTCAGTATTAAAAAAAAAAGATCATAAGTTTTCTGAATACACAGAAGCTTCCTGATGGGGTTCATTCTAGGCAAGTTTTTAAAAATTATTTTTAAAGTTTTAATTCTGGCAAAATACACCTAATGTAAAAGTGATCATTTTAACAGTCTTGATGTGTATAGTTCAGTAGTGTTAAGACTATTGTCTTAACAGTCTCCAGAACTCAAAAGTTACTGTGAAGGCTTAAATGAAAAGAGACAAGTGGTATGGTTTTTGGGGAGTCCAGAAGGTCAGAACTCTCTCAGGAGTAAAGACTTTGTGGGAATAAAAAGAAGGACTCTTCTGTATCCCTGGCATCTATCTAAACTTACAGAAGTTTGAAAAGTTTCACGTAGTCACATTTATTGATGTTTTACTTTATGACTTAATTCTCAAGTTGTTGTTGTTGTTTTTTTTTTTTCCCCTTTTTTTAGACAGGGTCTCACTATGTGGTTCAGACTGCTCTTTTTTTTCTTGGATACCGGGAATCAAACTCAGGACCTTGTGCTTGCCAGGCAGGCACTTGTGCTGCTGAGCTATATCCCCAGCCCCAGACTGCTCTTGAACTCACTAGGCAGTCCAGGGTGGCCTCAAACTCACAGCAATCCTCCTGCCTCAGCCTCCCGGGTCCTGGCATTAGAGATGTGGCCCATCACACCTGGCTTATTTCTCAAAGTTCATACTTAGAAAAACCCTTCTCCATTTTGGGGTCAGATATGCATCTATTCTTTTAAAAATCTTGCTTTATATGTACCTGTGTGTTTAACACTTTACTCTTGAATTCTACTGTAATTCGTTTTGGTGTGGATTTTGATAAAAACTAAAGCTGGGGCATGATCCAGGTACAGTGGTAGGCAGAGGCTAAAGGGGCAGGGATTCTGGGCAAGGTAGTGAGTTAGGCCTCCTCTCCAAAACAGGATCTAACCTTTCCTCACAAATCCCAGCACCGTTTAAAGAATAAACTTTCCTTTTTTGGTTGATTTGAAATACCGCCTTTATCAAACACTAAAATACCCCGGCATTGGGTCTGAGTTCAGATCCCGAATTCTGTGGTGTTGCAGAGAAGCGCAAGAATCTGCAAGACCGGCCCTGGAATATTGCTGCTCAGGTGATTAGCTCTCTGGTTAAATGACGGTTATTGTAACAATACGAAAAGTTAAGAGAGAACTGTTTTTTGGAGACAGGGTCTCCCTAGGAGTCCAGGATGGCTTCGAACTCAGTGATCCTCCAGCCTCAGTTTCTTGGGGCCTGGGATTACAGGCGTGCGCCACCAGGCCCGGCGGAGAGGGTGATTTTGTTGGAGTTCTTGTATAGTTGCTCTTTGATTTATGACGGGGACTTAATTCCATCGCAAGTAGGAAATATCTTTTTTTTTTTCTCTACTAGGAATTGAACCCACGTCCTCACGCTTTCGAGGCAGGCGCTGTGCCACTGAGCTCTATCCCCGGCCCAGTAGAAAATATCATAAATCGGGATCATCGGTACTTAATTTGGGGTCGTTATGACTAAAAATTTCACCCTGTGTTTTGAGCATTCGCAGAGGATTACACACCCTATTAGGATGTGTAATCACCACCCAGTTCCAAGCGGCGGATCCCGGACATTTTAAGGAACACTTTCCCTAAGTCGCCACTGTCGCGTCTCTGTGGTCCCGGCTAATTTAAGCCGCCAGCAGGCGAGGACGGGTTTGTGCGGCAGTCAAGGACGGTCAGGAGGGCTTGGAGGCATCCTGCCCTCCCCTGCAGCACCCCAGGCGCGCGGACAGGCGCGGGGTCCTCCGCGCACTCCGATCCCTATCCCGGCGCTGGGTAAGGCGGCCGGCACGGCGGGAAAGAGCCGGCTCCCACGGGCTGCATTCCCGGGGAAGAGGTTATTCCCGGGAAGAGGTCCCTGGGGGGCCGTGGAGAAAGAGGGGACAGAGCGATGATTGCTATGCGGCGCTCTTCTCCTTCGGTCTTGATTTAGGCTCCTCTCGAACACCCACCCCCGAGGCACCCGGAAGGCGGACCTGGGTTTGGACCTTCTTCCCAGAGGCCCTTGCGTTTCCGTCCCAGGCTCCCCCGGGCGGGGTCGGCCGAGGCGCCCTTCCGCCGGGCTCCCGCCGGGGCCGCGCTCCCTGCGTGCACCGCGCGCTGCTCGGGGCGGGTGAGTGGGGAGGGGCTCGTCCTGCTGGGTGGCAGCGGCGGGGGTGGGGGCTGTGGAGCGCGGGGCCGGTCGGATTGGGACTCGAGTAACCGAGCTGACGACTGATCGCGCGGTGGGGCTCAGCCGAGGGCTGGCTGCAGCGGCCGCTGCTGGTTCGCCAGTGCAGTGTCGCCGAGGTGCGGGCTGAGGGCCCCGCCACAGTTTGCTGGCGAGGGGACGGGACCCGCCCGGCAAGGAGGGCGGCGCGTGCGCCCTGGCGGCTGCCGGCGAGGAGGGCGGCGCGTGCGCCCTGGCGGCTGCCGGCGAGGAGGGCGGCGCGTGCGCCCTGGCGGCTGCCGGCTCGCGCTCCGCTCCGCGCTGTCCGCGGCGTGTTGCCCGCAGCTGTCGGGGGCTGGTGCAGTTGGCAGGGCTGGGCGAGATGGGACGATCGGTTTAGAAGGAATTTCTGACGTTTAGTTTAGCCGCGTATGAAGCCTGTGGCAATCGAGGTAATTTAAGGGCCGGGGATATAGCTCAGCGGCACGTACGCCTATCTGGCAAGCGCTAGGTCCTGAGTTCGATTCTCGGTACCAAAACAAAAACAAATGCTGTAGTTAAACAGGAGGCAAAATTAACACACAAAACGAGGTAATTTAATTCACCCTCGAAAGTGCAGTTTTTTAGGGTTTTAGTATATTCACAAGGTCGTGCAGGAGTCACCATTTCCACCACGCCCAAAAGAAACCCGCTGACGGACTCCACTCACACCCCCGGCACCCAGCAGCACGCCGCTGCTTCTTGTTATGAATTTACCGATTCTCCGCATTTGATAGAAGTGAATCATACTTGTCTGTTCCGTTTATGTGGAATGGTATTTCCGACGTTCTTCCGCAGTGTATGTATCACGGCTTCATTGTAAGACTAAGTAACAGTCTGTTGCTTGGATACGAACCACATTTTGATTTGCCGTCAGTGAATGGACTTTGGTGACTTCGTAGAACTTTTAAAGTCTTCCTCGCCCGAAACTTGCACTCGGAGGCAAAACCATCTTAAAACTAAATTCTTAGAAACCTGCACTTAACTCTGGGACTGAGTCAAGCGGTTCAGTGACCACAGGTCTGTATGTTTTAGGGTAGTTTATCTTTTGAAGTCTTCTATTCGCAGTTCAGCACCTGTCACGCAGTCAAAGCAGAGATGAGTTTGTGAGCAGATCTTCTCTGGGAGGGAGACCGGCGTCACCTTCTTTTCCACGAGGGGAGCATGTGTTAGCGGAGTGCTTTTAGCAGCCTGTTTCCCGGCGACAGTGTGTGTGTGCTGAGACCTGGTAGCCGGTTATAGAAACGGTGTAGTCAGAGATGAGTGCACGTAACTTAGCTGTGGGAGAGAGGTTTTACCTAAAAATAGCTACAGGCCATCCTCTCTACTCAGATTCTGTGTTTGCAAATTCAAATGTTCACTGACATTTGTTTAGAGCCCCCTAAATCAGTACTCCTGGCCCCTTCTAGGGTCCAGTTTGAGCTGCCCGGTGCACGTGTTCCCAGTTGACGTCCGACACGGGGATGGTTTGCCTTCTTTCCTCTCAGACGCTGCCTGAGTGTCACTCTTCAGTATGCTTAATATGGTGTTGTGTTTTTGTGCTTTTTGTTGTTGTCGCTACTTAAAATGTTCTCCTAGCACAGTGCTGAAGTACTATGTTCTTGCCGAGTGCGGGAAGGCTGTGATGTGCTTTACAGGGAAAAGATGAGGTTCTTTTTTTCGTATTTTGTCTTTTTGAGACAGGGTCTCGCTATGCAGTTCAGGCTGGCCTTGAGCTCACTTTGTAGCCTAGGCTGGCCTCAAACTCGCAACGATCCTCCTGCCTCAGCCTCCCTAGTGCTGGGATTACGGGCGTGTGCCACCACCACTGGCAGGATGAGGTTCATTTGGATGAGCGTTGTTTGGGCACGAGTTAGAGGCTGTTGTTTATGGGTTCATAAAAACACACATAAAACATATTGACTCTTGAGTAACCTTGTGCTTCCTTGAAGGAGTATTCACTAACTCAGTGTGTTCACAGCGGCTCTTAGAACTTAGCGACTGTGAATAATGAGAATTGACATTATGACCAATAGAATTACTCAAGGGCAGGCCTAGGGTGAATATTTTTCAGTGTGTGCAACTTTTTAAAAAAATTTTATTTTAAAGAAAAAGAAACAAAAAACAAACAAAATTCCAAAACAATATGATAGGAGGGTAACAATGGTTAATACATTGCATATTGTTATCTTTAAATTACTCAGAGTACAAGATATAGGCATTTAATTGTCCCAACAATATTAGCACAAACCTATCTTTTCAATGAACTGAGAGAAATTAGTAGTATAACTAGCCTATCTTTTATATATATATATATATATATATATATATATTTTTTTTTTTCCTTTTGCTTTGCCCTCCTTTTTCCCATTCTCCCATCCCACTGTCTCTTTCCTTCTGGAAGTTTCTTCCCATTTCCCAGTATCTATTGTACATTTTCGATCACATTGACTCTTTCAGTGCGCACACTAGGGAGACAAAACGACGTTTACACATTAATGTACACAAAAAACTTAAGTTTTTTCATTCCAGGCAGTCATTTTTTAATTCCACAGTGACCGTTTTAGGGAGTTCAGAGAAGACTGAAATGCTCTTCTCCCAGGACTCTGGGCTGCCGGGGGCTGTGCTAAGTGCTGGAGGTTCTCAGGCGGGTCTGGCTTTTCCCTCGGAGGTGGTGGAGGTTGGCAGTACAGCGGAGAAGGGATGCAGTGTCCTGCGTGCTTTGAAGTGTGGTTCAGATGCTGTGGGGATATTTAGGGCGGTGCTGGTGACCCTTGGAGGGCTTTCAGTGATACAAACAGCTCCCTGAGGCACACGTGCCGTAGGTTTGCTGCCACTGATTTAGAGTGTGGTGAGGTACAGAAGGATTTACACAAGAGATGACATTTTTAGATTTATTTTTTGTTTTTAATTAAAAAAACTTTTTTTTTTTTTTTTCTTTTTGAGACAGGGTCTTTCTATGCAGTTCAGGCTGGCCTTCAGCTCACTTTGTAACCCAGGCTGGCCTCAAACTCGCAATGATCCTCCTGCCTCAGCCTCCCCAGTGATGGGATTACAGGCATGCACTACCACACCTGGCTTAAAATTTTTTCTACCCTGTTGCTAATTTTTTTTTACAGTAGTGGGGCTTGCGTGCAAGACCTCATGCGTACTAGGTAAGCACTGCAGTACTGAGCTGTATCCCTGCCCTTTACTTTTTATTTTGAAACAGGTTCTCTAAATTGCCTAGGCTGGCTATGACTTGCAAGTCCCCTGTCATTGCCTCCTCAGTAGCTGGGATTACAGGTGTGTGCCACCGTGCAGGGGTGTTGCTAATTTTATTTTTTAAGAAATATTATAGCAGTATGTACGTAAATGACTATAAAGAACCTTGATACCCAGTCCCACTCGTCAGGCTGTTCTTGGTCTTCGGTCAGAATCCCAGCTTTTTCTGAGTCTTGTCCATTTTCCTCCTGTAAGCCCATCCAGAGTCTGTCCTTTCTTAACATTCCTGTTGGTAGAGTTGAGCTTTTATCGTTTCTGCTCTGGGCTGTTGCCTTAAAGACCCCTAGCTGATCGCTCCTTCAGTTATTCACTGTCAATAAAGGAGTTTTCTGAGGCAGGACTGTAATCTTCACATTCTCAGTTTAAAACTTTCCCTTATGGGTACAGTGATTAACACCTGTGGTCCAGCTACTCAGGGGGCTGAGGCAGGAGGATCACAAGTTCAAGGCCAGCCTGGGCAACTTAGCAAAACCCTGTCTCAAAATAAAAAGGGCTGTGGGTATAGTGCAGTGATAGAGTGCTCCTGGGTTTGATTTCCACTCTTGGAAAAAAATTTTTTTTCATTGCTTTCTCATGGTTTACAAAATAAAGTTTCAAGCTTTTTTAGGGAGTGGCTTATATTACCCTTTGTGATTATGCCCTGTTTTGTTTTTAATAAAGATGAGAAGAAGCCGGCATGAGGCGCATGCCTATAATCTCAGCACTCGGGAGGCTGAGGCAGGAGGATCATTGCGAGTTTGAGGCCAGCCTGGGCTACAAAGTGAGCTCAAGACCAGCCTGAACTGCATAGCGAGACCCTGTCTCAAAAAGACAGCCCCCCGCAAAACAAAATAAATTGGATTGTCTTTTTTCTTACTGAGTTGTTGGCGTCCTTTATCTTTTTATCACGAGCAGGCACAGAGGCTGCTCTGGGGCGGAAAGGCACTCAGAGGTAGGCCACCCTGGCACTCGCAGTAGCCAGAAGGAGTCGGCGCTTCTGCCTAAGTAAGACCCCAAGAGCCAAGCAATCTAGTCGCAGCTCCTAGTGCAGCGGTTTATTGAGCATTTTCCACGTTCACAGCAGCGCAGAGGGGAGCTCACTCTGAGCATAAGCTGGACGTGGAGGCCGACAGCGCAGGATCTTCCTCCCACCCAGCCAGCACGCCGGGAGAGCCCGGGAGGGGCGCCGACAGGCAGCGCTGGGACCCTTCGCGAGCTGGAGGCCCGTACAGCGGGGGAGCCACGCAGGGCAGAGTGATGGTCATAGACAGGTGCACAGCTCAAGCGGCCACTCTGCCAGGAGCCGTGCCCAGGCAGAGTCCCCGGCAGCGCGCCGGAAGACCGAGCCGAAGAGCAGCTGGAGGCTCTGTCTTTTATGGCGGGCAGCTTGATACCCATGACATATGCTGGCCTTCGGGTGGGGTACAAATAACGTGAGCTGATCCTGCGCTGCTAAAAGCATATTTTTCATTATGGTAAAAATAGACATTTTTAGGAAACGTTTTTATCAGTTTTCCACAAGGGTTCCCAAGATAGGTCTCGTGGCACACAGGCCATGTGGCTATCGCGCTACTCGGTCGCCACCCAAGTCACCGCGCAGGCAGCTGCACGCCGCGCTCACGCCCGAGGGAGGAGCGGAGGTTGGTGGCGGAGGCAGTGCTCACCAGTGTGCAGAGGCCTGATTACATTTCCCAGCCTCCTCTCCAGTTCGTTGGGGCTGTGTGATGGCGGGTTCTTTCCAGTGTGCCGCGAGCAGCAGTGACCCCCGCCACCGCGGGCCAAGGCACCGCGGGCCAAGGCCCCGCGTGACTCCTTCAGCTCTCCCGGCCCGCAGTGATTGTCTTGGAGGCCACGTGTGCTGGCTGATGAGCTGTAAGTGGGACAAGGCCGTCTCACTGCGACAGACCTGGTGTGACCGAGACACACTTCGCGAGCTAAGCTGTTCTTTGTCTTTCTTTCTTCCTTTTTGCAATAGGTCCTCACACATGCTAGGCAGGTGTGCTGCCGCTGAGCCACGTCTCTGGCCCGCTCCCTTGTTTATAATGAGAAGATACACATAGCATACAATTTACCACATAACTCTTAATAGTTGTGCAATCAGTGACATTACGTACGCACACACAGCGAGTCCCTTTAACGGATAACTTGTTGGGTGTGCATTTGAGACTTTGAATAACCTGTTCCCAGGAACCTTTTAGGATCTATCCATTGGTGATTCTTGCTGGAAGCTGTTATTATCATATTATTGTCATATACTAAATCTTGGAGGCTCTCACTGATATTTCCTTTTACAGATGATGAAATCGGGGCACAGAGAGGTTGATCAGTTGTCCAGTTTAAGTACTACTTGCTGGAGCTGGGTGTGGGGTGTACCTGACTGGAGTTTCTAGCATGCCTTGTAACGGGTCGGTCCACTGAGGCCTGTGGGCACATCTGCCGTCTGTTTTTGTAAAGTTTGCTTGGGATGCCGCTGTGCTCCTTCATTTACATACTTTCTCGGCTCCTTTCTTGCTAAAATGCCAGCCCAGAGTAGTTGTGACCAAGAACTACAATATTCATTAGTTGGTCCTTTACAGAAAAAATCGGCTGGCCTTTATTTTATTTTATTTTACTTTTTAGCACTACTGAGGATAAAACCCAGGGTGCTCTATGACTGTGCTACCTGCGTACCCCTTTTTCTTTTTTATTTTGATTGCAGGTCTTGTTAAGTTGCCCAGGTTGGTCTTGAACTCGTAATCCTCCTACTGAGCCTCCCAAATAGCTGGGGTTATAGGCATGTGCCACCGTACTTGGCTTGGTGGCCTTCATTTTTTTTTTTTTTTTTTTTTTTTTTTGAGACAGGGTCTCACTATGCAGTTCAGGCTGGCCTTGGGCTCACTTTGTAGCCCAGGCTGGTCTCAAACTTGTAGCAATCCTCCTGCTTCAGCCTCCCAAGTGCAGGGATTACAGATGTGTACCACCATGCCTGGCAGGCCTTCATTTTATAGAATAGATATTTAAATTTTTAATTAAAAGAATATGCATATATCTTTGAATACAAACAGTACCAGAAGTTTTGTTTTGGAAAGAAGAGACCCCTGCCTCACTGTTCCCTTATCCCTGAGACAGATACATTTAAGTAACATTTCTGGCATTTATGTTGCCATTTCAAATCATATTCCTTTATTTCCTTTTTTTTTTTTTTCTGGTACTGGGAATCGAACTCACGACCTCGCACTTGCCAGGCAGGCGCTGTGCCACTGAGCTAAATCCCCAGCCCCTACCTTTCTAATCATGTATAACGATCATGTCAGGGTAATTGGTATGACTATTACCTAGACAGCCACCATTTCTCGTTTGAAAACTTTCAGGGACTGAGGGGTGACTCAGTGGTAAAGCACTTGCCCGGCATGTTCAAGGCCCTGGGTTTGATCCCCAGCACTGCAAAAGAAATATGTAATAAATATGATAGAATTAATTAAAAAAATAAAAATTTTAACTGCTAATTATTGGCTAACTCAGTTGAGGCCACTGTGCTAGTTTCCTAGTGCTAGAGTATAAGTAAATTTATCATTGGGTGGAATAAGTTTTATGATCATTTAAACAACTTTTTCGCATTTCATCATAATGGATATAAGAAAATTAACATGAAATTACAATAGTATTTATTTACCACATACTACATGCCAGGTGCTAACTGTTCCAATGCCTTTTCCTACAGTATCACATCGGACCTGCACAATAGCACCAGGAAATGTACTTTGTGTATCTCCTTTCCAGTGAGGCAGTGTCATAGACAGGTCCTCCCTCAGCCCCTCCCAGCGGGCGAGGGGACTGGAATTCCTGCTGGAACGCGAACTCTTACACATTATGTTGTAGTACCACAAGGAAGACTGTGGATTGGACGTTCAGTTAGCAAATAATTTTAAAATACAGAAATGTACATGAAGCAGTTTCGTTGAGACACGTGTAGGACCGTCAGGCAGGGGGTCAGCCAGTTGTGGGCGATTTTTCTGAGGATAACTCTGTTTCCTGGGATGTTACAAACTTGCCTAGTCTCAGTCCAGTGGTTTGGCTCTCAAACTGGAGAGGAATCACCTGGTGGGGGGGCTCGTGACTGCAGGTTCCTGGGCCCGACTCCCAGGGTTTCCGATGCCGCAGGGGTGGGGTGGGCCTGGGGATCCTCATTTCTGGTAGGTTTTCAAGTGCTGCTGCTCCTGCGCGCCCAGGGTCCACACGGGTTTCGCGCCGTCCTGTCTTTCCTGAGTGTCTTCCTGTGTGCTCTCCTTGCTAATTTCCGTTAGCCTTCTCCCTCCAGCTACCTTGTTAGCTCCTGGAAAATGGGTCTGGTGTTGTAGCTTATATTTCCGTTTTGACCCCACCCAGACCACAGCCGTGTTACTCATCATAGGTAGTGTTTTAATATAGCCCATTACTCATTTATACCCCTGTATTTACTGACGTATGATTGATAAAAATTACGTACGTGTAAGGGTTACAGTACGACGGTCTGATGTGTGTGCGTTGTGAATTGTTACCACAGTTAAGCTGCTGACCACACGCCTCACCTAACACGGTTACTCTGGTGGGTAGTGCTGTCCTGTTAGCTTTTCTACAGAGAGCATTTCTGTCACTTTAATGCTTTAAATTTATGTCGCAGTTCACGGCACGGCACAAAGGATGAAAGATTAGTCGGAATCTAAGTCCAGTTCAAACTCCCAAGAAGGGCCAGAGGGACTGGCCTGAGTCGAGGCCCTCGGCGTGAGAGTCTCCTCGGACGCCCCGGACTGAAGCTTCTGGGGGCTTTTATTTCTAGAACCAGGAAGCGAGTGTGAAGTTCAAAGGAAGGGTGGCAGCACAGGACTTCACAGCGGGAAGAGGGGAAGCACAGGAGGGCAGGCTAAGGTCAGGGCGGTCTGCTGCATGACTGGCCTTGGGCCCAGTCTAATACGCTGGAGTGTGGGGAGAACAGGGACCAGAGCACTGTTCCTAAAGGAAATGTGTTTCGATCCTACTGTGACTTGTGGGCCTGTAGGCCATCTTTTATTTATTTTCATTTATTATTTATTTATTTATTCTTTGAGACAGGGTCTCACTGTGTAGCCCAGGCTGGCCTCGAACTCCTATCGAGCCGCTTGCCTCAGCCTCCCGAGTCCTGGGATTATAGTCATGCGCACCACGCCCAGCTGAAGCTGTCTTTCATCTCTAGCCGTGCATTCTGGGAGGTTTTGGACGTGTGGCCCCAAAAGTCCCTTAACTCTGCATATTCATCTCATACATATCTCGGTCCAACACCTCCACACAATTATAAATATAGTATGTTTTCACTGTAAAAATCCCTTTCAGTAAGCACCACTGCAATGGCACACACCACCGGAAAGCTAGAGAAACCCTGTAGGATTTTCAGTGACGTGACAGACATAGCTAGCCACTGACTGAAGTGCAGAAAGTGCCTCAGAGGCTCTCGCGCATGGGGGCTTCATCTGGTTCTCAGTAGAGGCTCTTGTCTTTTGCCGTTCCGGGTCTTTAAGATGTTTTTAACCCTTTAGTTCTATAGAGGCCAGCCGGAACCAACATGTCCGGGACTGAGGATGCAATTCTCGGAGGCGGTGACGGCCATGCCCCTGCTGGAGGCACCTCTGTGCTGTGCTTCGGTCAGGTAACTGTGGGTTCTTCGTCCCTGGAGGGAATGAGGTTAGGATGATGATCTTCAGACCATCGCCACACACGTGGAAGCTATTTAGTGCATTTTTCCTGTAGGTGCGTTATTTGGGTGCTCTTTGATGAACTCTGAGTACGTTTTGGAATCTTTAGGGGATTACCTTTAGAGGTAAATGTATTCATATGACAAAGTTTTGTCATTTATGTGATACAAAGTTCAGAACAAAGCAGACTGTATGTGCCAGGTCTTCCCGTTTCCCTTCATTCCCGTCAGGGTGCCGTCCAGTTCTGTCTCTGGGAGACGCCAGTCACCGGGGTCCCATTCTTGGAGGATGTGTTCTGTGTGTTGAAATAACTGCTAATTCAGAGGCTCTCAGATGTGGCTCTAGGAGCCCTGGGGGTTTGCAAGATCTTTTCAGTGTCCATGAGGGTGAAAATGGTTCCCTGATGTCGCTAAGATACTGTGTGCCTTTTCACACGGATTCTGCCACGCGTGCGGCGTTTTGCGGAGGCTGCGTGCACGCCGTGGCGTGGTCGCTCTGATGGCCGCTGGAGAACGACCCCTCCCCTGCCCAGCACTCAGTCCCACGTGGAGGGCTCTCTGACCTGCGGAAACAAACTGTAGGATTCGCGCTACTTTTTTTTTTTTTTTTTTTTTTTCCCGGTACGGGGAATTGAACTCACGACCTTGTGCTTGCCACGCAGGCGCTGTGCCGCTGAGCTAAATCCCCAGCCCCCCACACTACTTTTTTTTTTTTTTTTTTTAAATTTTTATTTTAAAGATAAAAGGAGGGGAAACATTAACAGACATACAACATTTTACAACATATCACAAGCACAATACAGACAACACAGAGTTACAAACAAAGTGGTAGGGAATTAACAATGGTGGTTGTATTACATATTGATATCTTCAAAGTAGCTTCTCGTGAAAACAGATATAAACATGCAATACTGGTCAACCCCCCCACACTACTTTTTAAAAACATTTTTAGCTACTACATGAAAGTCCTAGTAAGCTGGACCACGTGGTTTATTTTTTGGTGGTTTTTAGGCATTAGGGGTGGAGCCCAGGGCCTTGCACATGCCAGGCATGTTCACCACTGGGCAGCAGCCCCAGCCCCGGCAGAATTTTGATACGTACGGACGTTGTGTGCTTAATAGTTCTAAGAGGAGGAAGGGGTGCCGGCGGCGGTGGCGGTGGGAACGCCAGCCTGATTGCCCCCTCCGCATTGCAGTGCCAGTACACCGCTGAAGAGTACCAGGCCATCCAGAGCGCCCTGCGGCAGAGGCTGGGCCCGGAGTACATCAGTAGCCGCATGGCTGGGGGAGGCCAGAAGGTAGGGCTCTGCGGCCTGGCAAGCGGGGGCCGGTCCTCAGGCTGCTCTCACCGCCCCGCCTGTGCGGCCCGCGGTTGCGGGGTGTTTCCTAGTGCCCGGGAGGGCCGGGCTGCAGATGTGTCTCTCCGCGGAAGAGGCCCGAGCCTCGTCCTGAGGCCGGGGTAACTGCCGTGTCGGGGTTCTTCTGCCGCCTGCTGGAAGTGAGCCCTTTGCCATGCCTTCTTCTTTCCCTCTTCCTCCTCTTCCTCTTCTTTTTCCTCCTCCCTCTTTTCTCCTTTCTCTTTTCTGTGGTGCTGAGCCTGGCCCCCGTGGTCTCCTTCGGGCTAGTAAGTAGCACTCGATCTACCGCTGAGCAAAGCCCTAGCCCCTGCCTTACATTTCTGCATGCTTTTGATTTTTCATAGACTGCGTTAACCAGATTTTTTTCAGAAATTCTTGGTTTTGGAAACTGTTAGGTGAGCAGATAGCTGTGTCCTCTGAGGCCACTTCCTCCCCTCCCCGTCTAGCTAGTTGCATCTAGAAGATCTTTGAAATGCATTTATTGAGAATTTCCTTGGAGTTGAGGTTTTGTCAAAACACATAAGGAGTAAATGAAGTAAATTGTACTCGTACTTAAATATGCCAGGGAATTTTAACATAGCTTTATTAAAACATCTTTTTCCTAGGTGTGTTACATTGAGGGTCACAAGGTCATTAACCTGGCCAACGAGATGTTTGGGTACAACGGCTGGGCACACTCTGTCACGCAGCAGAATGTGGGTGAGTTCGTGGCTGCGCGGGGGCCGCCGCGCTTAGCTGTGCCCGCAGCTGTGTGGGCAGGGAGGGGACAGGAGGGTCGGCTGCCTGCGGGAGGCACAGGGTCCCCGTCTTCAAGGGTTCTCTTTGCACTTCTAGACTTCGTTGACCTCAACAACGGCAAGTTCTACGTGGGCGTCTGTGCGTTTGTGAGGGTGCAGTTGAAGGTGAGGGTGCGAGCAGAGCTGCGCCTGGAGGCTCGGCTGTGACCGAGGGGGCGGGCGGCGGCGGGGAGAGGACTCAGCAGCGTCTCCGCCAGGGTCCTTAGGATGGGGCGTTCAGTGCTTCCACAAAGGATTTTGAAAAATTCTGTCCTCTGCATGTTTTTAAGTTGACACTTCATCACATATGTAAATCGTCACAAAGGGTGGATTCTTTAATATAGTGTAAAATTCGACATTTTGAAATAAAATCATTACTTTTTTAAAAAAATGAGTACTCACTAAGGTGTTCAGACTAGCCCCAAATTCAAACCTCTGGCCTCCGAGTCTGAGTAACTGGGATCAAAGATGGGTGCCCTGTACCCAGCTTACAACTTTTTTAATTTTTTTTTTTTTTTTTTGAGACAGGGTCTCACTATGTAGTTCAGACTGGCCTTGAGCTCACTTTGTCTCACTTTGTAGCCCTGGCTGGTCTCAAACTTGCAATGATCCTCCTGCCTCAGCCTCCTGAGTGCTGGGATTACAGGCATGCGCCACCACACCTGGCAGATCAACATTTTAATACAAGTCAAATACATGGAAAACGCACATTTTAATGAGATGGATGTTGCTGAATTTTTCTTTTTCAGTTAATATATATGTATTCAGTTGAATATTAATCTTAAATGATCATTTATTCTATTTGATGTCTTAATTTTATAAATAGTGCTGAAAACCTTGATCCCATAAGTAGCTATGAGTGGACTTTTGTTACAATGAGGTTCATTTCTTTGAATGTCTTTTCTATTCTCAGAAGTCAAGTAGTGCTGTCAGTACACATGATGTTTTATTCTGTTAGCTAACAGTTGAAGCCAAGAAGTGGATACTGCGTAGCTTACTAAAAAATGAAAGGATTTGCTATGCAGTGGGAGGCCGGCCGCTACAGAGTCCAGGCTGCCCCTTCGTTGGGTGACACCGCAGCCGCGGGTGGGTTAGGACGGGCCTTTCCCGTGTTGAGCGGCTGGAAGGGGAATGCTCTGACATTTGGAGCACAAGCAGACCAGGTCCTGCAAACAGTTCTGGACATGGCTGTCTCACGGGGTCTGGGCCATGTCCCCTGCAGCACGGCCCTGGGTCCCGGGGCCCGTGGTGAGCGCTGCTGCTCCGGGGAAGAACAGGGCGGCCGGGACCGACGGCAGCTTTCACGCTAGCGCCAACTCCTTCCCCACCCAGGACGGCTCCTATCACGAAGACGTAGGCTATGGCGTTAGCGAGGGCCTCAAGTCAAAGGCGCTGTCCCTGGAAAAGGCCCGGAAGGAGGCGGTGACGGACGGCCTGAAGCGCGCTCTCAGGTGGGCTGCGGGCTGAGCCGCACCGGCCTGTGTCGCGCTCTCGGTTCACGGTTCACGGCAGTGTTTGGAAGAGGCGGTCGTCATGGGGGTCCGAGATCTAAATAACACAGAGAGGAGGGGCTGGGGACTTAGCTCAGTGGCACAGCGCCTGCCTGGCAAGCACGAGGTCATGAGTTCGATTCCCGGTACTGGAAAACAAACAAACAAACAAACAAAAAACATATAACACAGAGAGGGAACTCTCACCTGCCCTGGCCCCTGGCTGTCCGGTTTCCTCCTTGGCTTTGTTTCCCCCCAGCATTTCTGTTGAGGGCTTCCGTTTGCAGGAATCAATGCTAGAACACTGTACAGGAAGCCCCGACTGAGACATTGCAGTGGCGAGCTTTCGCAGGTGTGCTGCGTCGCAGTCACTTCGTCGGCTGGGAGTGGATCCTAGGAGTGGACCCGGGCAGGGGCAGTCAGTTCTCCTGGCTAGAGCTTACTGCGTGCTGAGCTACTTCCCGGCCCCTCAGAGGTGCGTCCTGGAGAGCTCGCGCGTACTGTAACAGACATCGGGGGTAAGCAGCCCCTGGAGAGGAAGTTTACTTTGGCTCGTAATTGAGAGGCTTTAGTCCAGGGGCCCTGTGATGAGCCCAGCATGGCGGCGCGCATGTGGTGCAGCGCCCTGCTCGTTTTGGGGTGCAAGCAAGAGAGAGAGAAGGGACCAGCGTCTCCTGTCCTCTTCCGGGGTGCGCAGCCAGGGACCTCAGACCTCTGCCCGCCGGGTCAGGCCCTTCGGGGGGATTCGGGCGTGCCGGACCCTCCCTGAGGGCTTTGGCCTGCGCGCACCGAGGCCGCCCCGGGCAGGGACACCGCAAGCGCGTGCGGTCAGACAATGCATATTGGCGCCCCCTTCCTCCGCCCCAGTGAGAAACACTTGACGCAGAGCTGTAACTGTTCTCTGATACTCAAGCCTGGCAATTCTTCGCCCCGTTTTCTTTTCCCTCGTCCCTTTAGAAGCTTCGGGAATGCACTTGGAAACTGCATTCTGGACAAGGACTACCTGCGGTCGCTGAGCAAGCTGCCGCGCCAGGTAGGGTAGCCAGGGGCAGCGCGGAGGGCCGCAGGGCGTGCTGGGCAAACGCCCTTGCTGCGTGGGTGAGCGCTTGGGCGCTGGAGGGCGAAGCGCGGGCTGTGCCCAGGGCTGGAGGTTGGTTTCACTGTGCGCGTTAGTGCCTGCAGGCACCCTCCTTCCGCTTTAGGAGAAGTGCGCCGCGGGCCTTTACCTGGGCTGTCTGCTGTGTGGGGATGCGGGGCTGGGAGCGGGCGGCGGACCTCAGAGCGGGAGCACAGGCTCCGCGCGCCCCCGCGCCTCCGCACGCTCGGAGTCTCCCGCGGAGGCCTCGGCCGCTCTGCTAGGGCAGTGCGACCATCCGGTGCTGAGGGTGCTGACGTGGGGCGTCGCCACAGCACGCGGCCCGTGCGCTCAGAGCCTGGCTGCTCCCTTCGCGCGGCGGAGCGCCTCTGCTCCCTCCCTGGCTCCTGACGCCTCTGCCATGCTGCCGCCCGCGCCGCGCCACCCAGCTTCTTCCTGTGGAGCCCCTCGCAGAGGTGTGTGCATCTGTCACATTCTATGTTTTTAGAATCATTCTGCTGTTAATGGTTTTTACATCTGTGTTTACAAAGGATATTACTGATAGGTATATGTTTTTCCATTTTTTATTATGGTAAAGAAACACATACCATTTATCATTTTAACTATTTTTGGTGTGTGGTTGAGTAGTGTTAAGTATGTTTATTGTTGTAAAACTCCTCTCCAGAACTTTTGCATCTGTTTTTTTTTTTTCCTGGTGCTGGAGATCGAACCCACAAGCATGCAAAGCAAGAGCTCTGCCAGAGCCACGACTGCAGTCCCCACCTTTGCGTCTTGGACAAGCAAACTTTCCCTGTTTCCCTCCCTCCAGCCCCTGGTAGCGAGTGTTTACTTTCTGTCTCTTTGGGTTTGACCACTCTGGGTACCTAGCTCACGAGTGGCATACTGTTTTGCCTTTTTGCACTGGGCTTATTTCACTTCACATTAATGCTTCAAGATTCAAATGTGGTACTGTATGTCAGAATTTCCTTCCTTTTTAGGGCTGAATATTGTTTTATGTGTATACCTTGTTTTTTAAATGCACCACTCTCTTAATGGACATTTGAGTTTGCTTCTACCTCCTGGCTACCTCCTGTGAAAAATGCTGCTGTGAACAGACATAATTATCTAAGGAGGCCTGACATTTGGATATAACTCAGAAGTGGGATTGGTGATCCCATGATAATTCTCTTTTACTTGTGGGTGGTACTGCGAGTTGAACCCTTGGCCTCATGCAAGCTAGGTAAGTACTCTGCCACTGAGCTACACCTCTACCACTTTTTTTGGAGATAGGGTCTTGCTCAGTGGCAAGGCTGGCCTTGAACTTGAGATCTTTCTGCCCTAGCCTCCTGAGTACCTGGGATTGTAGGCCTGTGCCACTGCACCCATTTTTTAATTTTTTAAAAACCACCACCATTCTAACGGGTGTGACTTTATTGTTGTGCGGGTGACCCCCACATCGTGCTACAAGGAGATCCGCACACGCTGATGATTCGTGCGTGATTTCAGCTTTCAGGGACCTTCAAGCACACTGCCTTTTTTAATAGGGTTATTTGATGTTTGTTGTTGATTTCCGGTAGTTCTTTAAATATTCTAGCTTTTTACCCCTTCTCAGATAACTTGATTTATAAATATTTTCTTCCATTCTGTACACTGTCTTAAGTAAGTTTTTAAGTTTGGTGTAGCTCTGAACAACCACTGTCAGGCCCAGTACTCGGGAGGCTGAGGCAAGAGAACTGCCATGAGTTCAGGACCAGCCTGGAGTACATAGCAAGACCCTGCGTCACGAGAGAGGTGGGTGGGCAGGGACGGGGGAGGAACAGGGAGGAGAGGGCCAGACAGAAAGACGGAAAGTTAAAAAGATAGAAGGAAGGAAGAAAAAAAAGGAAAGGGGGAGTTTTTCCAAATAAAGTGTTGGTGATGTCATTCGGAATAAGGCAGAGAGAAGAAGAGAACAAAGCAGCCGTCCTTGTCACCCAGAAAGGCCGGCCTGTAGCAGATGACGTAGCTCAGGTCACTGACAGTGGCAGGGGCTCGACTTTCTCACGGCGGACACGGCGTTCAGTGCTAGGAAGCACGAGTGAATATTAGAAATTTAAAATCCAAGGTGCTTAGTGCACTTCAGGGATGTTTCGAAATTAAACTCACTTTCTTCCATTAAAAAATACTGCCAAATGCAGTGTCATGAAGCATTTTCTCTATTGTTTTCCCCGAGGAGTTTTGTGGTTTGGGGTCTTAGGACTTTAATCTCCTTTTAGTTGACTTCTGCGTATGGTGTAAGACCCGAGTCAGATCTCTTGCATGAGGACGCCCGCTTCCCCAGCATCTTTCATTGAAGAAACTGTCCTTGCCCCACCGAGTGGCTCTGCCCTTCTCACTGGTGATCGTTTGGCCATGTCCACAGGGGTTTCTGTCTGGGCTCTAGTCTGTGGGTCTCTGAGTCTGTCTTTATAATCACTGTAACTCTGTAATGTGCTCTGAACTTCAGAGGTGTGAGGCCTCCACCTTTGTTCTTTGCTTTTGTTGTCCGGGGTTGTTGGGATTCCATATGAATGTTAAGGTCAATTTTTGTATATCTGCAAAAATGCTGCTGGGATTTTTATAGGATTGCATTGAATTTATAGATTACTTTAGTAGTGTGAACATTATAATGTTAAGTCTTCCAGTGTATGAACATGGAGTATCTTCTCATGTGTCTTTAATTTCTTTTAATAGTTTTGTTTTTAAAGTTTTCCACATGCAATCCTTTCACTTTCTTGGTTAGGTCTATTTTGTTCCTTTTTTTCTCCCCCTGTACTGGGGATTGGACCAAGGGCCTTCAGATTGAGCTACATCCCCAGCCCTTTATATATATATATATATATTTTTTTTTTTTTTTTTTTAAATTAAGACAGGAGCCAGGCGTGGTGGCGCACGCCTGTAATCCCACCTGTAATCCCAGCATTCGGGAGGCTGAGGCAGGAGGATCATTGCAAGTTTGAGACCAGCCTGGGCTACAAAGTGAGCTCATGGCCAGCCTGAAATGCATAGCGAGACCATGCCTCAAAAAAACAAAACAAGGGGCTGGGGATTTAGCTCAGCGGCAAAAGCGCCTGCCTGGCAAGTGCAAGGTCATGAGTTCGGTGCCCGGTACCGGAGAAAAACCAAAAAAAACAAAACAAAACAAAACAAAACAAAACAAAATTTGAGGCAGGATCTCACTAAGTTGCTAAATTGCTTGGGGTGGACTCCAACTTGCAATCCTCTTGCCTCAGCCTCCCAGCTGTGTTCTTTCAAGTCAGTGCCCACCCCTCCTTTTGTTTCTACTACCAAGGAAAACCACTGTAACATTTGTTTGGACTATTACATATATATTTATTGGGAATCATGTAAACTTTTTTATCTTTCATTCAGCATGTTTGTGAGTCATTCATGTACATGCTACATTTTCACTGTTACATAATTTTCCATTGCAAGAGTATGTATATATGTATGTATGTATTTTTGTTTTTTGGAGATAGGGCCTCGCTATGCGGTTCAGGCTGCCCTGGAACTCACTATGTAGCCCAGGCTGGCCTCGAACTCACGGCAGTCCTGCCTCAGCCTGCTGGGATTACAGGCGTGCGCCCCCACGCCTGGCAATAACAATTTATTTTTCTCTTCTGTCTTTAGTACTTTTTGGGGTAGCTTTTGGCTGTTTTGGATAGATCTGCTGTTAGCATGCGCTGATCCCATGTACACGCATTTTTCGTAGGACTCAGTGGGGGAGAGGTAAGTATATGTCTAGTCGTAGCAGTCTTCCGGTTTCCTAGCATGACTGGGCTGGTTCGCGTTCCCACACAGCCTGTGTAAGTCCCAGCTGTGCATGTCCTCGACAGCAGCGATGCTCTTTTTGGTTTTTCTCAAAGCTCATTCCTATTCTTATTTCAGTGTAGACAAGCAATCCAACTGGAATTTCCGTTTTCAGATTATTATGAAAATGTATTCCTCTTAATCCCACGTCCCGATAATTACTCACCAGCACCAAGTTTCAGTTTTAAGACCCAGGAGCAATGACGACAGAGTGTCGCGTGCCCTTTTCCAGGGCGCTCAGTCTGCAGGGCAGGCAACAGAAGGGAACGGGAAAAGGAAGTTTCTCTGTCTTCCCTTCTTAGCTGCCTCTTGAAGTGGATTTGACTAAAGCAAAGAGACAGGACTTTGAACCGTGTGTGGAACAGGCAAGATACAATAGCTGTCGGCTGAGCATAGCTCTGGGACCCCCCAAACCACCGGAGGTGGCCTCCCCCTGCAGACCAAGCCACGCGGGTGACCCCCACATCATGCTACAAGGAGACAAGGCCGGCAGCTCCCGGTATGAGGCCCAGGGTGGCTTCCTTCTCTCTCCTGCCCTTTCTGTGTGGCTTAGCTTGCTGCCGTTTCTGCCGTCAGAGCCAGCAAAGTTGCTCTGTGTGCTTCCTCAGGACCGTCTCTGTCGTCATTAACCTGGTTAACTCAGGAACTCACCCTTTTGCTCTTGGGATGCAGAAGCCTGAGCTCGTGCACCGTGGAGAGCGACGCCACTTACCAGCGGAAGCTTCGGCAGAAGCAGCTGCAGCAGCAGTTCCGGGAGCAGATGGAGAAGCAGCTGCAGGTTCAGACACTTGCTCCAGCTCCGGCAGAAAAGCAGAGTGAGGGTGAGAGGGACGGGAGCAGAGGCCCGGGAGGGTGCACTGCAGGAGGAACTCCGGGAACAGGGTGGCCCAGTTCTCTGCCAGGGCGTGACTGGCTCCAGACGAGAACCCCCCGTTACAAGTGGGATAGAGGAGTCCAGGAAGGTAGGAGGTGAGACCTGCCATGCACTTTCCCATTTCTGAAGACAGTGATCTTGTTTTAGGGAGGTGTAGAGGCCTTGACATAATCTTCTGGTTGTCTCTACATCAGAAAGCCTTTATTTCTGAGCTGGCTTTGAATGTAAGGCCAAGTTGGTTTCGAGGAGAATGGGATCTTTGGGCAGATTACTTATCTATAAAAAACTCTATAGTTTTTTTCAGGGTACAAATTCAGTGGGACTAGTAGGTTGATCAGGAGTTGGGAAGAGAAATGAGTTGCCTGGAGAGGAAACAAAGAAAGGGCGTGTTCCAGACCAGTGAGCTTTTGCCTATTTCCCTACACATGATGAGCATGGTTGAGAGGGTGTGCTTCACGTTTGGGTCATTATCATCCTCTCAGCACGGACAGGCTGATTGAAAAAAGAAACAAGCTTACTGTCCTGGGCCTATGCTGAGTTAGGAGTCATTGTAAATGTTCAGCTTTTGTCCATTTCAGCAGCTCACGAGGAGCGGGCAGGTGGACTCCAGGTGGCCCCACCCTTATTAGACAACCATGGCCATAGCCTAGGCCACTGCGCTGGTTGGCTTGGCTTCTAAGAAGCCTTCTGTTCTTGCTGGGAGAGAAGGAACAGAGGGAGGGAGGACTGGCACCGAGTTCCCTCCCTGGCTGAGCCCTGACGCCCTGGGCATCTCTGCACTTCGGCGGCTGCTTCCGACTACAGGGGACTAGGGTCAGTCTCTTCGGTTCCGTTCAGCTCTGTAACCAATGACTCGTCCTTTCTCTCTTGTGTGAACCGCAGCAGCCCTTCCGGTCCCTCCTCTGACACACAGTACGCCCATCGGTGCTGTCGCAGAACCGCTCAGGGAGAAAGTCATCTTTAAAGGTAAATGACTTTAAAAAAAAAATCGGTAAACAGAAAATGCACGTAAGTTTCCGTTGCATACTTCTGGTACTCACGAAGTACACCTTAACAAAAATCTTCATTTTTTTGCTGAGTGCTGTGGCATATGCCTGTAATCGCAGCTATTCAGGAGGTTGATGAAGGATCTCAGGTTTGAGGCCAGCCCAGGCATTTAAATAAGACAGCGTCTCAAAAAATAAAAAGGAAAGTAAAAATAAAAAGGGCTAGGGATGATGCTTGGTTGGTGCTTGCCTAACATATGTGAGGCCCTGGGTTCAGTCCCTAGGACTGGGTGAGAAAAATGATTTTAACCCGATTTTCAGCCCCATGAAGTTTTTCCCACGAAGGGGAAGAGACCTTAAAATTGATTGGTGGGGCTGACCAGTAGATGGCACACCTTCAGCTCCTCTGTTGTCTCAGGGAAACGTTTAGTGTACTTTTAAGATGGGAGAGAAATTGCAAAATCTGTGTGAGGCATGGCGTTTCTCAGGTCCACTTTCCTAGTGCTGTGAGGACACTGCTGGCTAATGACACGCTTCTCTGTGCTCTCTGCAGAGGATCCTGAGGACAACCTTGAAATGTGGGATCTGACTCCAGACTTAGAGGACATCGTGAAGCCCTTGTCTAAACCAGAACCACTGCAGACCTCTGCCGCCCCCGTCCTGGATCACCAGATCCCGCAGAGCCTTTGCTGCCAGAAGCCCCAAGAAAAAGCTGGAGCCTGGCAACCCCCTGTTTACACCGCTAACCAGCACGTATCAGGTAGCAAACGTGTGTTTAGGCGCGAAAATGAAAGGGAGATCATGGGTTTAATTCTGTGAGTTTTAAAAGGAAGGAAGACATCTAACTTTAAGAAATTGGACAGAATCATTCCAATGCAATAAGTAGGTTAGGGCCAGAACGTTTCCTCTGGGCTCCTGACTTGAGCTTCAACCCTTGTGAGCCCCAGACAGGTATAGGAAGCTGAGGACACAGCTGCCCTAAGAGCTTTTCCTGCTACAAGTCAGTCTGTCAGGACTGTGATGTCACTGGGTCCCAGGCTGACGGAGGGAGCTGCCCTCCTAAGAAGTTTTCGTTCTTGGGCCCTCAGTCTCAAGTAGGATCTGCCAGTTCAATGCAGAAACGATGAGCTGTTTCCTCCTTGCTTGAAAAGCATGGCAGCAATACTGGAGCCACTTTATCTTCCACAGGAAACTGTGAATCTCATAGGAAGAGCCAGGACGCGAAGAGAAGGAAAGTGGATCCACCCTAACCTGAGGCTGTGGACTCTTACAAATGGACTTTGGAAAACTGCTCTTTGGCCATGAAATTGTTCGTTTTTGGGGAATGAATTTTATTTCCGAAGGTATACCTTGTTTCTTTCCGAGCTACGTCAGAGGACCTGTCGGACCTATTAGAGAGAGAGCCAAGCACCTCACAGACAGCTTGTCATACACTGTGGTGGGGCGGCCACTGACAGATGCAACACCTTTCCTTGGGCTCTTGAGGGTTTTCACTGTTTACTCCTAAGCTATTACCTTAATAAAGATAGACATTTTTAGGAACTGCCTGTGGCTGCCTGCCCTCAGGCAATGTATGTGTCCTTAGTCCTGAGCACCAGCTTCAGTAGTTGCCTAGGTGAAATTGTGGAGCAATCTCCCTTTGGGCTCCATGGTCTTAATGCCGTCCATGGAAGTACTGTGTAGCCTAAGAACAACGGTATAGTGTGCTTTTCACTTTGCAGCTTTGTACAAGTCAAGGGTACAACCATCCGTCTAATACAGCCGCCCCCCAACCACCTGTGGGCATATCTGAAGTGTTACTACTAAGTAAGGTTTACCTGAGCACAAGCACTGCAGTAGTGCAGACCGACCTGCTAACCGGAAAGGCTGCTGAAGGCTGACTGAGGGGCAGACAGCGCGTACCGTGGGGTGCAGCGAGCACGGCGAGACTCCTGACGGGGCGGGACGGCACAGACTTCAGTGGTTGCAGCTTAAGGATGAACTGTGCACTTCAGGCAAAAACCTTGGAAAGCTAACCGCGAATAGGGGAGCGTTACAGCTCACTTACGGGTTCATGACATTACAATCTCGCATTCTTTCAGGGCCACCATTTTTTCCAAACCAAAGAAATAATGGTCTAAGATGAAGGAAAAGGCATTTTGAGAAAACAAATCCTTTACTTGGCAAAATAAAAAACAGTAGCCATTTTTATTTTAGATGTGAGATGTGACTTACTCTATCATAAGCTGAGTTCTCAGGGTTTTTGTTTTGTAATTCTCCCCAGATGAATTTGTGTGTTCTCTCTTTCAAGTGCGTTTTGAGCTATGTTGTCTAATGTTGTCACAGTGACATCAGTTTTGTGGATCTCGGGCATACCTGTGGGAAGCTGTGAACCTGAGATAAGCAACTCTTAAAAGCGGTAGCAGCTGACCTTTTATTCCTTTGGGAGATGAAGCAGCAGCAGCTCGCCCTGATTTCCGTGTCTTCTAAAAGCCTTTACCTTGCCTAATGTTAGGTTGATTTGATCATCTATTTTATCTTTTCCGTTTGACTTTCTTACCATTTTTCTCTGCAAAACCAGTTAGCAGTAAAATCTTAGTTTAGGAAAAATGGCTGCTAAAAAATGTTTCTGAGGAAGGTGGGGTGTATGGCTATGTGGCGGAGCACCTGTCTGGCCCTGCTCTGATTCCCAGCACCATTATTTAAAAAAAAAAAAAAAAGAAAAAGCTCCCGAGGAATTAGGAGCTATAAATATAGCTCCAGTTATAAATGGTGTACATCTTAGAACAAGAGTGAGTAAGTACACGAAAAAGGCACATTTGCTGGAAATGAAACTCCACAGCTCAACAAAAGCAAGTTTGGTTTATTTGAATGTTTCATTAAATAAGTCTACAAAGGTAAGAAACTGAAGCACAGAGCGCAGTCTCACGAGAAGCGCACCACCCAGAGTTAGTGCAAAATGTACAGTTAACGGCTGCCGGGACACCCCAGGGACACCCCAAGGTTTGACTGGTTTATTTTTTAAAACAGTGTACATTGTTAAATAATGTAAGGAAAACATTTATAATTCAGAAAGTTCTTTGAAATGTGGAAAAAGATACTCAAAATGTACTATTAACACAAAAATAATTTAAACAGTTCAGTAGCACTAGTTCGTTCCTCTAGGCTTCAGTTGTTTCATCCACAGGAGGGGGGGGAAATCAACAGTAAACAAAACCAGGTCTTATTTTTGTGTATGAATGAGAAGACCTCAAAATGACTAAACCAAAATAACAGAACAGTAACACGGTGCATTTGGCTCCCTCATTGCTCTGGTAGAAAGTACTGTTTCGCTCACCGCAGGGGATCTTTTCTCATTTACACGGCGCCATCTTGGTCCTAGCCTTACTCTTATCCTTGCCACAAGAATGGTAAGCACAGAATCAGTCAGTCAGTACTTCTGAAGCAGGGCGCAAAACCCCTGTCCTTTCCATTTCTACCTCCCGACAACCTCCAGCACTCACTGTGTCTCTGGGGCCTGGGCCAACCTAATAGAATGGCCTATAAAGGAACGAACAGGATTCAGGTAGCCACCGGCTCGCTCTGTCACGGTGACGCCTGCAGTGTGCCACTGAGGTGGGTAAAGCTGGAAATACAGTTTCCCAAGTAAGAGTTAAGAAGAAGCACTCAAGAATTTAAGAGTTCTAGCTTCTTTCTCTGTCTTCTGAGAATGAGATCCCAAACATAGCCAATTAGGACAGTATATCCGGAAAGCTCTGCAAGTTCTACAACTGCCTGGAACACTAGGCACAGCGCTAAATAATACTGGTTGGTTGCAGTTATTTAAGGGGAGGGTGCATGTGAAAACACGAGAACATTACTATAAACCTGGAAATAGGGGTGGCACATAGATTATGAACCTGCAACCACTTGGGATATCACAGAGGACACGGGTAGAAGAAACCTTTCCTATAGTGCTGACTATTCAGAAGAGCGTCCACTTTGCGCAGAATATAGCACCCCAAGCTGAGAAATGCATGGTGCACGTGCAACCAGAGGAAAGTAATCCAAACAGGTTTTCAGAGCAACTCTCTCCCTCTGTGACTCTTCACTATCACACCGCCCAACTTCCAAAGCTAGCCTCCACCCTCTTCTCTCTACGTTTCATTTCTTCTTGGTCTCATCTGTTCAAGCCCAGCTCAAATCAGTAAGACTTATGACGGTCGTTGGCCAAGCATCACGTACCTTCAGAACAAATCTGTTCCCCCATTCTTTAGACCTTCTTTTTTGTTCACTCAGCTAACACTTCCACCTTTTAAATTGTCCAATTTTGTTAGAACACCCCACCTCACTAGTCCTGAAACAGAACCTTCTGCTTTCAACCACGGATGCCAACTCAGCTTCTCACCTTACGCATTTTACACCTGCTCTAGACAAAATTGTTGAATGACTTAAAAAAAAACAAAACAAAACTCTTTCAATTTGCCTTTGGCATATCCACTGTGGGGTCACATGGACCTAAGATTTCTTTCCACGTGCCTTTGCTGATCTGGAGTCTGGTAAGCAATGCTAATGGCAGAAGCAATATAAGTCCAAGGCACTAAAATATCCAGCAAGCAATACTGGGAGAACAGAAGTATTCAAGTACAGTAATTATACAATTTTACATTCACATTTATTTATCTAATACAATGGAAGTACAAAGGAAAAAGTTAAAGTGTCTCAATAGTAAAGGAGAGAGCTAGCTTTTTTGTGTGTGAACTTTTTAAACCTTTCATATTTTACTCTTAAAACTACTGTTGTCCAACAACATTATATATCACAGTGTTTCCACATCAAAACTGATGGCAAAGTTACATGTCCGCAGGGAACGTAATTTTTTTTTCCCTAATTGCTAATGCTGCAGTCAAAGCTGCTAATATCTTCTGCATAAAGCACTAATGACCTATCATAAGAAAGGGTTGCAATCCCAGTCCCCTGGTATTTTCCACTGGGTTTCTAAAGGAGAGGGAGGTAAAACTGAGGATGGAGGACAGAGCAGGAGAGAACCCCATTTTTTCATCTCACCGTCTGAAGTTTTGAGGGAGTAAGGGATTTGGGTCATGTACCACCATTAAGAACTCTATCACCTTGTAAATATATCAGACGAGGTTTGGTTTTACACTGAGCTCGCCTACAGCTTCCTGATAACAAGATATTCTTTTATCCCTAGGCCTCAGCGGTGGGTAAAGATAAACAGGAAAGCGTAGTTTGAAGTTGCCCCTCCACAAGAAAGTTGCTCTCTCCTTGTCCCACTCCAGTAAGTGGACGGGCAGGGAGATTCTCTATTCTGAGGGTTCAAGGTGGTATTAAAAACATTCCCTTCTGGCAAGAAATAACCAGTTAAATGCAGCACTAGTAGTTAGTATATAGGTTACTTCTCCATCCCCTCAGCCCTCGGCATTCCATTCTCTGGCTCCCAGATCTACTCAGTTAACATCTCTAGGTCTAAGTGGTCCGCAGGTTGGAACCCGGTGGGTTGCTGATGGATTTCTGCAAACTGCTGATGTTGAAATTCTGCAAGGAAGCAGTTCCCACAGGCTGGAACTGACCAAGTGGCTGTGGTGCTGGGCCACCTGTCCCACTCCACTGAGGGCCAAATGTGGTAGCTGGAAAACCGTACTGCTGTGGGGGGCACATGGATTTGGTGAAGTGACCTAGAGAGGTAGCTGATGCTGCGGAGATGGGGGCAGAGCCACCCAGGTTCGAGGTCATGGAGATGCACAGCTGCCCAGGTGCAGAGAACTTCCTTGCCATTCCAGGGCCCTGAGAACAAAACAACTACATTTAAAGTTTGGTGAGGGTAGAAGATCCATGGGTGTAAAGTGGGCAGTACTCAATACAATTCTAGAACTGAGACCACGCTAATCTTACAGGGTATAGAAAATGCAACAACTATTTACTGGCTCTATACTTAATATGTGGGGATGAAAATAATCATTCCGACTGAAGAGAGAAGTGTCATATACATTTGTGTGTACACGCAGTTCAGGACACTGAAGGAAAAAGAGAAGAGAAACTCATCTGACCAATAAGGAGTTGAGATTCAAGGAAGAAAAAGTAAGAGGCACCTGGGTGATTTTTGTCTTGTTTTTCCAAGGGTTAAAATTCATGAGCTACTACAGGAGGTCATAGCATACAATGGTGCAGCCTAGAAATCTATGTAGTTTGTACTGGCTGTGACTCAGTTGTGTTAAGTGATACTGACAGAGTAGAAAAATGGTAAAAGGGGAAGATTTACCTCGTAATTCATGTGCCCTTTGCTTCCTCTCCTTCCTGACAGATTCATGGCGTCTCGGGCCCAGTTGTCCACCAGTTTGTGCAGGTCATCTGTGAACGTGCCCTTCCTGCTGGACGTTATGGCAGGAGGCTGAGCTTGGGCAGCTTGGCTGTTCACTGTTCCCCCAACAGTGTTTGTGCTGCTGGTCCCTGGAGGTATAAACAACAACAATATTAGCATGAAAAGGAGTGTCTGGGTTCTAACTTCAGGAAGAGGGAACTTGTCACAGATGATGAATGGCAAGCCACAGAATGGTGGGCTGGGGTAGGGGGTCGGGAAGCCATGCAAGAAAGGAAGGTACCGAAGTTTTATGTGGCCGTTTGGTTTTTTTTTTTAAGTAATAATGACAAAAACCAGTTTCTCTTCAGTAGCTGCAGATGATGGCAGGCACGAAGGGCAGGGGCCTCTTTCAAAGCACCTTAGGATTTTGGGACATTTTGCCAGTGCGCTGTTCCGAGCATCAGGCTGATGAGGGAGTGTGATATGGTCAAAAAGGCTGCTGCTGTGAAAGTCTGCGGAGTGCAAGGCAGGAGAATGGATTTTTTGTGCATTGGCCAGGCTGAAGTAGGAAAGCAGAGATCACTGCTTAGCTATAAAGATGGAGCTCCCAGACCATGTGGATATTGCCATATTCTTAGCCATTCTTTAGCATACCAAGTAGCATGCTCCATTCAAAATTTTTCTTAGACCCAGAAACATAAATTTATAAATATAAACTTGGAAGCCTTCAATTCCTCTCAATTTCCCGTAAGTAAAGAACCAAGATTAGGCAGGAGGAACAGAAGTGGCTAAGTGAATCTTTCAACTCCAGGAAGACAGAGTTTTCCTGAAGATGACCTTGGTTTCAACTGATGGATGGATTCTCACCCCTTCTGACTTCCTAGAACAGCAAGCACTGCCATGTAGAAGCAACAGGACAATTCAGCTGAGGCAGGGGTGCAGAGGGGGGAGGATGCTTTGAGGTTATGATGAAGGTATTCTATTTCTATGGTCTGATGAAGAAGGAAGGAGTCTGTGTCCTGCCTGATTTCGGCTCTGCTGGAGGGCACACTGACGGTTATTCGAAGAGGCAAGTTTTAGAGAAGAGGGAAAGAAGAGTCATGGTCTTATTTTTTATTCTTGAACACCCCCCTCCCCTTACCAGATCTCACAATTGCTGAAGAGTTAAGTAAGAGCTAGTTAAGTAAGCTGTGAGCCAGGAGGCCTTACAACACCCAATAATGCTGGGTCTGAAAAGTACATGCATTTTCCTGGTCTCAAGGTCAAAGCAGCACACCACAGCACAGTAGCACAGCTAAAGCAGCCCTTCCACTGAAAGCCTTTTATCATCACTGTTGGTTTCAGTCATTTTTCTGTTTTACCCTCAGGGAACGGCACATACAAGCGTGTCTGTGCTGCAGTGACGGCTAAGTCTGAGGTGAAGCTGCAGAGTGAGGAAGGTCACATGCTTCTTACCACCAGGGCAAGACATGAAATTGCAGTATGTGTCAGCTCATGTTGTTACTGCACGCATGGTGCAAAGGAAGAGTGAATTCCCCTCCAGTACAGGAAACCCAAGTGGGAAAGAATAAAAAGCACAGGAAACAGTCTTCCTCAGACAGTAAATAGGAGACAGAGGTAGAGTAGAAAGCACAGGCAGTGAGGATAGGCAGCCATGACGCTGAAGAGACCCAGAAAGTGAGAGCAGGCATGCAGGAGGCAGAATGCTGTGCAGGGGGGTAAGGGAACAATCAAAACAGAGAGATGACCACAAGTGAATGGCTGTCCAACGGCAAACAAAAGGTGCTGGGTGTGGTGGGCACCAGAGCTCATACCGGGTGGGAGGTGTCACAGCTCTCTAGTTGGATGTGACTTGCTCTTTGTGCTGTAAGGCCCCATTAAAGCCAAATTCATTTTTCAATCTAACTGATATTACTCAATACTGGATTCTAAAAGTAGGGTTTCTCACACAAGGAGGAGTCAACCACACAGTTAACTTTTTTATTCTGGATTCTGTAAACAGGTTTCCAGGTAATAAAAGGAAACAAATACCCCTTTCTGATCAGAAAATAACCCCTAGGAAAAGAAAACTGGACTGTGAAGTAGACTTCACTAGTAGGGAGATCTGGAGAACATTCTAACCTCTAAATCTTTCAGGTCTCTGAAAAGACCTAAAATGTACTACACACTTACCTTTCCTCAACTCCCAAATTCAGATTTTCTTCTGCCAAAATACATTTCCCTAACTGCCATACGGCTGGACTCCAGTAATCATAAAGCTATTATGGCCCACAATGTACTGTCCAAAAATTCCAAGTACGTACAGAGTTTGGTCAAACCGAATTGGACGAGAACTGAAAAATTCTCCCGTAAGGTCAACACTAAACCTAACCACTGAGTTTGATTCTGTTCTCCTCCAATTTGGTTTGTGAAGGTACCAGTGTAACTCTTTCCCGAACCTTTACTGGTAGCCTTCTGGGTTGCTGAAGGCTGTACTTAATCTGTACTTTAACGAGAAACCTCTAAGAAGCCGAACTCTATGAAGTAGTATTTCTCTCATCAGTCTTGCAGCCATCTCCCTTTGAGGCACACATATGAAGGCAGAGATCTTTATACACTTTAATCATTACTGAGGTCCCAGGGGAGCAAAGAACATATTCTTTTTTTTGGTGGCACGATTTGAGATAGGATCTTGCTATGTTGTTCAGGCTAACCTGGCACTCACTATGTAGCCCAGGCCGGCCTTGAACTCATAGCGATCCTCTTGTCTCTGCCTCCTGAGCGTGTGATTACAGGCTTGCACTTACATGCCCAGCTCTAGCACATTTCTGCTGACTACAGAACTCTCTTTTCCCAAAAGTCAGGCATCCCCAATCTCCCCATGCACAACCATGGGTGCTACCAATCCATGACTATTACAGAGCTAGGCTCACACAGGGAGAGCATTGACTATGAGGTGATCTCTCAATTAGGAATTATAACCAGCAGTTAGCAATTAAGCACGTTAAAGTATATTAAAAAGGGTGCAGAGGTAGATGCAAATTAGGAATTAGGGAGTTATGAGGCTTCATAGTTCAAAGAAGGCATGGATAACAGGCTTTGCAATCAAGGACCAAAAGTAACAGAAAGAAAAGATAGTTACTACAGAGCTGGTTGCAAGGACAGACTTTTTTCACCATCTTCCCTGAAGCACAAAGAGAGAGCAGTGTGTTAAAGAAACATCAGTGTAAAATCTTTAGACTTCAAATAGCACACAAAGGCCCAGCAAGAGAGAGCAGGAGGGGAGACAGATAGGTTGGACCTAGTAGCCCTAGACATAGGTATGTTGTACAGGATGTTTACCTAACTGGTTGCTGGTCTTATCAGGTCATCTGAAGGCTGTGTTGCCTGGCTGACACACTAAGTTTCCATACTGAGTCTTTGCTTCTAAAAAAGTAATGTTTTTGCATTACAGTTCTGGGTTGGGGAAGAAACTCTAGTTTCTCAGGTCTTACTGCTTGAATTGCAAATACCCAAGCAGTGTTTTCATTGACCCTGTCTCACTTCCTGTTTCTCCTGCTGGGTTGTTATAAAGCCCAATAAAATTAGCACCACTGTTATAGTTTGAAGTTAATTTAAATTGGCGATTACATTTTTACATCCTAGACACATGGGCTAACCCCTTCCCTTCCACTTTCTTTAGAAGTGTGTGGAAGACAAACAACCTTTGAACATAAATACAGCGTTAAGCCAAGCCGTGCTTCCAAACCATTATCTATTTTGAGAGCATAGGACAATGTATTCAAAACTGTTAAATTCCCAACCCTTCTAAGTACCAGTTTTCCTTCTACATTTTTAGGTTTGTCTTAGGATGTGTTCAGCAAGATATGCCTTCAACCGATAGATGTATGGCCTCTCATTAAGACTCAAATGAAGATTTACTATTTCTAAACAGTTTCATCTGAACAAGGGTAATACTACCTACCTTTAAGAGTGTGATGAAAATTGACAAAAATTAAATAAAATGGCACTTATCACCTTGTATTTCACAAAAGAGGTTCTTTCTTCCTACCTGGACATTTCAGGTTGTTGAGCATGGGCCTGACAAGCTTTATTAAAGCACTTACCTCCTACTATTAATGACTTTTCATCTTTCTTTTTTTTTTTGGTACCGGGAATCAAAATCATGACCTTGCACTTGCCAGGCAGGCGCTGCACTGCTGAACTATATATCCCCGGCAATGTCTTTTCATCTTTCTAATTGGACAGGCAAATTAAATGCTTACTCAAGTGTCAAGGTGCACAGTCCAGGCCAGTTTAACCAGAAAAATTATGGATCTGAGTGTTCACAAATCACACAGGCTTAGACAACTACTTAACTGGGTAATGCCTTCTACCTGCTTTGTTAAATAGCTCTGGACTAGTGATATGTAGGGGAAAGTGGTGAAAAACCACCTTAGGAGCTAATCTATTACCAACTAAGGTGAAAAATAGAACTAGAAGGGTTACAAATACATCAGTGAGAGAAACATTAAATGTAATGTATAAAGGTACCTTGAAATCTGGTGACTACAAAGAACAAAGGAAATTCTTCCCACCAGGAAGAGGCCCAAGGACCTCTGACCCATATACTCAGAAACACTAATGGTCTTAGCACATGCATTTAAAAAGCACTTAAAAAACCACAGCAGAAGTTTGAGGCCTTAAGTTTGAGATTGTTACCCAAATGCTAACAAATATTTTTTTAAACTCAAGGTTTGTTTTTATTTTAAAATTTTTTTATTTCAACATACATTTATGGACCACCTACTAAGTGCCAGGCAGGTGTGCTGGGTAATTACGGGAAACCACAAGTGCTTCAGAGTGCCCGCTGTTTCGTGTACAGATGCTTGCTGGATTTGTACAACAGCCCTGAAGAGACAGGCGCTGCCTGTACCATGCATGGTGAGGACAGGGTTACTTCTTGTTATGCCTGTTTTTAAATAGAGGCTGGGAAATCCCAGCAAAGAGATTAAAAAGTCACATTTTACTTGTAAGTGCTGGGCTTTGGTCTTTAACAGACAACAATGCTTTATCTTCGATAGCTAGAGTAAAACCCTTATTGAATTGCTAATTTCATCAGCAATAGTGGTATAGAGAGGTCCAATAAAGAGATTTCTAGCGTCTTTTCAACTGTTAGTTGCTAAAACTTAAATGAAAAGAAAAAAGATTTCAACATACTCTCTAAAAGAAAGGAAAAAAAACCCGGGTAAACTTTTACTTGCTGTCAGGATCTAAGTATTAGTGATCAAGATGCTTTCTGTCCCTTCCAATGCCAGGGCAAGGAGACAGCACTGCACACTCAGTCATCATTGCTTTCAATGGCCCAGTCTAGAGCAGTGGTGGTGAACTGTAGCCAATGGCACGTGTACCGCAGCAGGCTATTTGTTCACTGCTTTAAAAGGTTCACCTCAGCCGGGCATGGTGGCGTACGCCTGTAATCCCAGCACTCGGGAGGCTGAGGCAGGAGGATCATTCCAAGTTCCAGACCAGCCTGGGCTACAAAGTGAGCTCATGGCCAGCCTGAGCTGCATAGTGAGACCCTGTCTCAAAAAAAAAGCTCTACTTCACCATCACTGGTCTAGTGCCTTGGTATCTACCCTGCCACAGATCTAGGAGGAAGCGAGTCTACAAGAGAGTTATTCTGAAGTCTAGAGAGCCATTGTTATTTCTATATCTTTTATTGTAATTAACACGAGGACCCAAACTTCTGAGGGTAACAGCATTCAGCCAAGCCACTGAGTAGATGATATACAAGAGACAAATGAAAATGGACTGCGTGACATATCAGATCCAAGCAGCAGAAAACGAGGACAAGGAAGGAGTAAAGGTGTTACACACAAAGAGCCAAGCAGGGCGTACTCAGAAATCGGGTCCTCCTGCCACCAGGCTTGAATGTCACCTGCTCAGATGCACAGTTAAACTTCGCACAGCCTGTGAGGGGGAAACAGGGAAGAACAGAGAAAGGAGAAGAGACAGAACACAGCTACAAGGTGTTAGATACTTGAGGCTGGAGTGGTGAAACGTACTAAGATGGCACACAAAAGACTAGCTTCTGTGGGAGGTCAGATGGGTAAGAAAGGAAATATCAGGCCTCAGTTCCCTCCATCTGCATAATGCCCAAACTTTTCTGACAGGAATAATGTTAGCTACTTATGTTCCTTACCAGCCAAATACATTCATGTTGTGAAGAGACAATTTGTATGAAACTGTGGCACAGACACCTCAGATATCTGTACTTTTAAATACTTTCCATTTAGATTTGCAACTCCTTTCAATTCTTATTCTAATGTTATTAGAAATTCTTTTGTCTACATGTATGTTTTGAGCAGTAATTGATAAAACTGTATTCAGAAAGTAGATTACAGACAAAAAATTAAACTGTCGTATTAGGTTGCCAATCCCACACTTAAAAAGTTAAAAAGTCTACATTGGCCAGGCGTGGTGGCGCACGCCTGGAATCCCAGCACTTGGGAGGCTGAGGCAGGAGGATCACTGCAAGTTCGAGGCTAGTCTGGGTTACAAAGTGAGCTCAAGGCTAGCCTGAACTGCACAGCAAGACCCTGTCTCAAAAAGACCAAAAAAAAAAAAAAAAAAAAAAAAAAGTCTACATTGGCTAAGAAAACACATTAGCTTTCGGAAAGTACTAAAACTTCTTAGAATTTGGTTCAGGAAATTTCAGTCTAGTATTGAAGCTTCTCTTGCAAATCCCAAATGAGTTACTCATAGGTTGTAGATATAACTTTCCACTGTGATCCCTTGAAAAAAAGCTTTTTCACCCAATGGGAGCAATCAGCCCAGTTATTCTAATCATCACTCAACTTCCCTGCTCAGCCCAAGGATTTATCAGTGAACCACAAGCAGGCTATGTTCTGGTTAGCTGGTGACAACAAGTTACATATCTGGATTTTGTTCCAGGTATGGCAGTATCTCCATTTTAATGTTTCTGGATGGCTGTTTTGATTTCTTACCTTGACCTGGAGCTGAAAGGCTTGGTACTGAAATGGCACCATCACTGGTGAAGGCTGAGTAGAGGTTGTCACTGGAGGGAGATGGCTTAAGAGGCTGCAACAGCTGATTCTGCCCAGCATCTGGGATGTTGCCAGGAGGGTGGAGGGTCTGCTGGGGGTGCAAGACCGAAGCTGTACTCTGACCAGACAGGTTACCTGCCAAAAGAAACACATGGCACAAGGAAACATGTAAAGCTTCTCCCAATGCACATACAGGCACTTTCTATTTTCCCTATCAGAACTAGGGATTGAATCCATAGCCTTGCACGTGCTAGACAAGTGCTCTCTCTACCACTGAGCTACTTCCCCAGCCTTTAAAAAAATTGGTTTTTGACACATGATCTTGCTAAGTTGGCCCAGCCACTTCCAACTTAAGATCCTCCTTCCTCCTGAATAGCTGGGATAACGGGTGTGTGCCATTGTGCTTGGTTTAGGCATTAGTCTTATTCCTTTAATTTGTCTCACTGAATGATTAATGATGAGTCAAAAAATTAAGCTGATGAAGGGAAACAGTCCTCACTAATATGAAGGGAATAATATGAAGAATCCACCAGAATTGTCAGGGGAAAAGTCTAAGCAGAGGCTGCCTGACAATGTATTTGCATAGCAATCCAACATCTTTTCTAACAGGGCAAAAAAGTGACTATGGAAATGCAAAAACACAACTGTTACTGTCAAATATAGGCTCATGTTTTTTATAAACACATCTTTATTAAAGGATGCATGAGTTGGTCCTAATGTGCTAGAGAAAAGTTTGGGCATCTATGAAGGCTTCTAGAGAACACAGAGCTACTAAGAAGTGTGTACCTGCTCTCCAACATACTAAAAGTAGATCTGCAAAGTAAATATAAAATAAATACTTTAGCCCTCTTACTTTGTAACTAATTATCTGTTAACACTACAAAATTTTACCAAGAATTAAAACTCTTACTGGATGTGGTGGCACACGTCTGTAATCCCAGCACTTGGGAGGCTGAGGAAGGAGAATCACTGTGCATCAGGGCTACAAAGTGAGTTCAAGGCCAGCCTAAACTGCACAATGAAACCCTGCCTCAACAAAAACAGAACAAAACAAAATGAAATGACAACTCTCTAACCTAATTCAAACAGACAAACTATGGTCCATTTTAGAGATTATAATTTAAACCGTTTGTTTATAACCACTAGTCACTTCTTTTTCCTGATATAAGTGAAATAAAAAGCTTTAGCAAGGATGTTACAATTTCAGACTCACCCAAGTATTTATTTGACGTATACACCAATGCCATGTGCAATTATGACTAAGTCATTCATTAAAAGGAAGAATCTACCTTAAGGTTACTAAACAGAGGATGAAGTACTTGCTTCCCAGTGTCAAAGAGTTTGATTGAATGTGGGTTGTACGAGTTAATGGGCAAAGCTAAATGTTTAGGCTTACGAACAATTACACATGAACAATTATAAATGGATTACAGTGGAAAAAGCCATTATAATCACCCACTCTACTTTTATAGACTCAAAAAGAGGTTTAACAAATACGAGGAATAGAGAAGTCAAGGAAGCAAGAATATTAGGAAAGCCAGACTCTCACAGAATACCCACATAAACAGTTGGGAGACAGAAACAAAAGACGGCTCACTTGGTCTGGTGCTTTTTACCTGAAAGCTGTGGGCTTTTGTTCCCCAATGAACTGCTACGACTAGATTTGCTGCTTTTGCTCTTCGCGGGTCGTCGCCTTCTCCCTGAAAGGGGAGCAGCTGGGGGAATAATGACAGCAGGGGGAACCTTGCCCAGTTTCGTATACAAAGATTCAATTTCATGCTTCTGGCGACTCTGAAGATCCTGAATCTCTTTAAGATGTCTACAAAAGATAAATAAACAATTAAAAATATTACTGCTATCTTTGCTCAAATACGAATTAAAGCAAACTCTCCAGCTGGGGATGTAGCACAGTGGTACAGTGTGCGAGGTCCTGGATTCAATCTTCAGCACTGCAACAAACAAATGTATATTCTTGTACGTGCACTCAAATATTTACTTAGTTACAAACCTTTCCCAAAATGTACTGCCAAGAGATTTTCTACTTTGTCAACTCATTTTGTTATCTTCATTATCCAACAAACTTTTGGTCAGCCAAAAATGAGCGACAGCTGGTTGTGGTGGCTCACGCCTGTAATCCCAGCACTAGAGAGAGTGAGGCAGGGGGAATCACTGAGTTCAAGACCAGCCTGGGGTATAAATTGAGTTCAAAGCCAGTCTGAACTACCCTGGCTCAAAAAACAAAAAACCCAAAGCAAACAAACAAGAGTTGATAATTTGTTAGGGGAAAAAGATCTCCTGACTTTTAAGGACATATGCAGGATAGGTGAAATCACTACTCTTATCCAATTTGACAAAAGTAATTAACAAAACCTGCCAATACGATCATACATACCAGTGCCGTTACAAGACTCATTTGGTAAGATTAAATCCAGGACCTTCCACTCAGCTACAGTCTCACCCTTTTTAAAATCTTGAGACAGGATCCTACTAAGTCTCTAAATTGCCCAGGCTAGGATTGAACTTGTGATCATCCTGTCTCAGCCTCCCCAAATGCTGGAATTACAGGTGTGCACAAAAATGCCTGCAGGAGTAGGTAATAATGGGTGCCATTCTGCTTTCACAGGAGAAAACATACTTTTCTCGTAGCCGTCGCAGCTCTAACTTGAGGTCTTCATCTTCAATGTCTGACTCATTGTCACTGCTCATGTATGAGGAGTTGAATGAATTGCTAAGGCTCTGACTCAGAGTCTGGAGGGGAAGGCTTTTTGAGCACAGCTGATGGGGCGAGTGTGGACTGCCTGAACCATCATCCACATCCCTCCCTAGGAAGGCGGCCTCCAGGTCAGAAGATGGTCCGTTTAGATGCGAAGGCTCTGAGGGTTCAGGCTTTTCTTTCTTTGGTATCACAACAGGAAGAACAGCTTGTTCTGAATCTCTAAAAGGAGATGTCTCTGGCCCCTCTTTCTTTGCCTCAGCGATCTTTTCTTCAGTTCTTGATACGGAGAAACGTCCCACTTTGTTTGCTGCAGCTGTCACCTGAAAACGTCCAACCACGGTAGGATGCCCAGTTTCTGACTTGGCTTCTGAGGCAGGAGTTTTGTGGGCACTATCTGGCACGTCTGAAGAGATACCAGGGAGTGTTATCCCATTCGGCTCTGGTTTCACCAGGGTACTCTCTGGACTACTACTTGACAGTACTGAGGACTCTGATGAGCTAGACTCAAAATGAACAGACTTTGCATCTTCTGACTTATTTTTACTTTCTTTCTGGGCATCATCCTTCGCAATGGAAACCTGGTGGAAAAAAGAGAACAAAGATTAAAAACTGAAGTCCCTAATATTTATTTCCAGCATGGATCACTAACAAAAAAGGGAATCACTTTATTTCTCAGTCCATGAAAGGCTGGATCTCTACACAGTCACTCCATATTTGAATGTGAAAATGAATTGAGTATCATTATAGAGAACAACCTATCTGTATCGAGTTGCAGATTCTGAGTGGCTGGTTAAGCTGACTAAATAATTTACTTTCATTTTTCATGTTATACATAGGGTTCATATCTTGGTCAAAATATATAGGTTCTAAAATCTTGAAGGTTGCCTGTGACTATATTATATATGAGAAATGCTAAATGCCAGGTAAATTTTAAGAATCACTACAACTAACAGCCACCAAAAGAAGGATCCAGACCCTTGTCCTTGTTTGTGCATGTATTATAAATAGCATAGATACAGCTATAAACCTCCACAACCTCAGTTTATAAGTGAGAAAAATATCTACTATTCCCAATTCCAAGGGCTACAATAAAAACAATCTGAAAGTAGTTGTGAAGGCAGGCTAAAAAAGATTTGCAAAGGTTGTTGAACACTCTAGAAACTGCTCACTTGTTGGACCAGGTGGGAGATTAAGATAATATGGCATCACCTGATGCTGACTCAGTATTACTACTTAAGGAGATAATTCTAAGGAAACTATCCTACATGTAGAATACATTTTTTATACACAGAGATAACAAATACCATTTAGAGGTGGAGAAGCAGTGGCCAATTTCAGAGAGAACAAGTACTCACGGGGGATGAATAGGAAGGAAGTGTGTGTATCTACTGCTCTAAGTATTCTATTTTTTTCTTTAATTAGTATGTCTTATTTTTAAGAGAGGAAAATGAAATGAGTTCTCAAGTGCTGTATAAAAGAAATATAACATTAGATTGGGAATTATGTCCCATATAGGTACTGATTTTATTATATACACAACTCCTCTCAAAGAGGAAATCAACGCCAAGAAAATGATCATCTTACCTGAAATCGTCCCATTTTTAAAACACCAGCTGCTGAACTAGTTACTTCTGTGCCTTGAGAAACTGAAACAAATACACAGAAGAAAACAAATTAGTATCCTTTTTTAGTTAGCGCCTTTTTTCCTCTGGCTAGAAATACAGGACATTAAAGACTCACTTTTAAATGAAAACCAGTTAAATTTACTTTTGCAATGGAATACTTAAGATAGTAGTTTTCAGAATTACTGGTAAGTAGTTTTGACCAACTTTAAAGACACTTAGATCCTATGTCCCAAGGACAAATCTTTGATTTTTTTTCTGGAGATATTATAGGCACATATCAGCAGATAATTTTATACACCTAGCAGAATACTGATCTATACTTCCATATGTTATCTTAGAGATTATTCCACTGTGATTCTTTTTAATAGCTGCATAATGTTGTATTTTACCTACATACCAAATATATTGTTTCAATGAACTATATTTTAACCAAAGCTTCCACTGATGGACATTTAAATTATTTAGAATTTAGTATCTTAAATTTGCTATAATTAGTAGTCTTTTATAGATCTATAAATTAAAGATGCAAGTCTGAATCATTTCCAATTAAAATGCTGACATATAAAGAATGAAGTGACTACAATAAGAAGACTTGAGATATAGGCTCGGCAGACTGGATCAAAAAGTTCAAGTTATATTACTAAGCTATAATGATTAAAAAGAAAAAACCAAAATAATAAACTACCACAGTACTGGCACAAAAACACACATGTAAATCAACGGAACAGAGCAGAAGATGCAGCAACAACTCCAGACATATTCAGCCACTCAATCTGACAAAAGGGCGGAAAACACACGCTGGAGGAAATAGCTTCTTTATTTAGCATATGGTGCTGAGAAAATTGGCTACACATATGGTAAAGATTAATACTGGACCTGTATCTCAACATGTACTAGAATACAACCAAAACGGATCAAAGGTCTAAATACTATATTAACATAGAAAGGAGCTGCTGGAAGATAACAGAAGTGAAACTCTTGAAGATACAGATGTAGGGAAGCCCTTTCTGAACAGAACCCTACTGCACAAGAAATAACATCAAGTGTCAACAATAGCAAGTTAAAAAGGAAACAACCAATAGAGCAAAGAGACAACCTACAGCATGGAAAAAATTTCTGCCAGATATACCTCAGACAGAGAATTAATATTTAAAATATATACAAAAAAATTAAAACAAGACTCAAAAAATGGACAACTGAAATGATAATATACTTTTCACAATAAAAAATACAAATGGACCTTAAATACATGAAAAAATGTTCAACATCACTAGCCACTAAAGAAATGCAAATTAAAACAACACTAAGATTCTATTTTACTCTAGAAAGAATAGCAATTGTCAAGAAATAAAATAATGGCTGGGGATATAGTTCAGTGGCACGGCACCTGCCTGGCAAGTATGAGGTCCCAGGTTCGATTCCTGGTACAAAAAAACAAAACAAAACAGGGCTAGGGATATAGCTCAGCAGCATAGCGCCTGCCTGGCAAGTGTGAGATTGTGAGTTCAATTCTGGGTTAAAAGAAAAGAACAAAAACAACAACAACAAAAAAACAAAAAAGAAAAGAAAAAGAGGAATCAAATACTGGTGAGGCTGTAAGGAAAAAGGAAACTTCCCATGCTGCTGGTGGTGGGAATGCAAACTAGAACAACCACTATAGCAAATTAATATGGAGATTCCTCAAAAAAATACAACTAGAAATTGTATTTGACCCAGCTATTTGGATTCTAAGTACAGTATCTCTCACAAAGATTTAGATACTGTTTTACACTGATACATGCATGCCTATGTTTATAACAGTATAATTCATAATAGGTAAGTCTTGGAAGCAGCCTATATGCCCACCAACAGAAAAATGAATAAAGAAGATGTGGTATTCACATACAATGAAATACAACTCAGCTATAAAGAGATATAAATCTTGAGTAACTTATAGGAAAATGGGTGCATCTTGAAAACAATGTCAGGTGTATTAAATCAGATACACAAACTTAAAAGTCCTATGGTTTTTCTCATATGAAAAAATCCATAAATATAAGTAAAGAGCAAAGCAAAAGATAGAAGGAAACAGGGAGACAGATCTACGCAAATGAGGCAGGGGACCAAGAGATGGAGGAAGGAAGGGCAGAAGGGAAAAGGGGCATAAAAAAGAATTAGGATGTGCCATGTACATGTACCAAATAGTGATACTTAACTACGTATCACAAACATATATAATAAATTTTAAAAATAAAATATAAATAAAATTTTGATAGACATTACTAAATTGATCCCAAGAAGCTTTACCACATCCCCACCCACCACAAAAACATATTTATATCTCCAATTTTTCACTTATTTTTGTAATGAATGGCATTTTCTTCTGATTCAACCAATTTTAAATCTGTTATTGCTTGCTGTGAGTATTAAACTTTACACTTTCCTCTATATCGGGAATTAGAAAGGTGTGATTATCAGTGGACCAAATCCAGCTGTTTATTTTTATAAACAAATTGTACTGGAATACACCAAACTTACTTGTGTGTGTACTGTCCATTGTTGCTTGTGGGATGTAACAGGGGATCTGAACAAGATATGACAGATGCTGTATGATCTCAAAAACCTAAAATACTTACTAACTTGCCCTTAAAAGAAGGTTTGCAAATACTTTTTGTTCACTGAAAAAAGCAGAAAAACATTCCTCCTGTGTTTTCTTACAGCACCATTTTTATAAATTTTCATCTTTGGATTATTTAGAATTTACTTTTTCATATGTTTACATTCCTTTTTATTTGATGGTAAAATTTATCAATTTTATTGTATGTATTTAGGGTCTATAATATGATGCTTTCATAATCCACATTTTTCTTTATTTTGTCCATTACTAGATTTTCTAGTATGCTACACTGTTTGAAAGGTATTTATTTAAAAATGAGAGTCAACAAAAAAAATGAGTCAATTCAGAATAATTGTTTTAAAAAAATATTCAAATTGACTAAAATCTTACATTTGGATCTTTGTACAAATATAATGTCCAGACTTTTCAACTTGATCTTTATATCTATGTATCCATCCAGTGTCACAAAAGACTATCAGTAAACTGACTTTTATACTGTTAGAACTTCTTAATTTCTTAAGGAGTTTGTTTAGGTAATAACAAAAGGTCTTTGACTAAGAAATTACCATGCACAATAGTTCTCTCACTCCAATATGACTCATTGATCTGCTGATATTTCATGCTTTAGATATTAGATCAGTGGTCCTCAGTCATGAAACACACAAAAATGTTCTTTGTAACAGTCTCAAATGCACCCACATTTTCAAGACTGTCTTTGAAACAGTAAACTTTATTATCAACTACTTTATTATCAATTAGAACTGGGGAGTAGTAACATCAAAAGAAGGGTGCTTCTCACCATCCTTTTGAAGCTGTGCTCCTGCTTCTGTAGCTGCTGTTGGAGCCACCACGGACACAGGCTGTAAAACACATACACACACCACAAAATCATTTTGCCCGGTTCCTTTTTCCCAAGCCTTTTTGTAAAATAGCAGAAAACTAATATATGTGCAGGAATACTTATGCCTAAGGGGTTTTTCTTTTATAAACTAAAAGTAAGTCTAATGTAAAGAAAGGTACCTTATTTTAAGAAGAATTTTAAGTCTTACCCTTTATTGCTTTTTCTCATAGGGTACTTAAGAACACAACAAATATTCACAGGAAGTAGTTTTATCAAAACGTTATTGTCTTGTTGGGTGTGGTGGCACATGCCTATAATCCCAGCACTAAGGAGGCTGTGGCAGAAGGATCACCATGAGCTCAAGGCCAGACTAAACTACATAGCAAGATCCTGTCTAAAACAAAACTCAAAACCAAAACAAACCATTTTAGTCTCATAAAGTTTAGCCTCCTCCAAAGCATAAATAAAAAATCCACAGGGTTATGATAAAATTTAATCAGATATATGACAAAAAGTATATTTCAAGTATTTTCTATAATTACACTATGGAGTCAGTGTTAGTATTTTATGAACCTGTCTCGTTTCTGTTAACTGGAACAAGCAGGGACTCTAAACTAGGCATTAAGGTATTAACAATGACTTAGGTTACACTTTTTGTTTTAGAAATGCAACAGATTTGGGTTAGATTCTATCAAGGTTTTTAAAACACTTACACCACTTGCAGAGGTCACTGTAATAGTCTCTGGACTAAGTGTTCGTTTCAACTGTGCATCAAGATCTTCTAGAGGTTGCTGAGACTGAGCAAAAAAAGTTACAGTATAAATTCTTAGGCATCTTCATATAGGCAATTTATATAGGGCATATGTTTTATGCTTTAGATTACAATATAGGGGGCTGGGGATTTAGCTCAGCGGCACAACGCCTGCCTGGCAAGTGCAAGATAGTGAGTTTGATTCCCAGTACAAAAAAAAAAAAAAAAAAAAAAAAAAAAAAAAAAAAAATAGATTACAACATAACATGTTTTCACTGACTATAAAACAATGTATTAAAATTTAGTATAAAGCTTTGATAATCTACCAGGTTCTCAAGATTATATGCCAGTTCTAACAAGCTTTAGAGTACTTTAGCTACATTTTTGTGATTTGAAGCTTCATAGTCTTATCTAGGTTTGATGCTATTCAAAGTGATAGAAAATTTATCTTCTGTTTTAAAATATATTCTGAAAAAACGCATCAAGATCTCTTGGTAGATCAACTGCATCCCACGTTCCCTGTTTCTCAGTTTTATATGCCTTCCTGGGAACCTATTCCTATGATAAGAGATAGCAATAAATACGTTTTGTCAGATTCAAGGAACATTACTGTCTTTGTCAGATTTTATGAGGTATACTTCTGTCCTACAGATGGCAGCAAAGGGGTTAACCACGCCTCTCTGCCATACAACTTCAGTGTCATACTTTTTTACCCTTGTCAGTCTCTGTTTTACCTTGGTTCTATCAACCCATTCTTATATACCTACTCTCACATAGCTTTACTTGTACTTTTCCTCCTATACAGAAGCATTATCCACTGACCCTTATACTTCATATTTTTCACTACACTTTAAATCCTTTGAGAAATCTAAATGCTTTTGTTTTTCTTTTGAAATGAGGTTTCACTATGCTGTCCAGGCTGGTCTTAACTCCTGGGGCTCAAGTAATCCTCCTGCTTCAGTCTCCAAGTGCTGGGGGTACAGATGCATACCACTTGGCCCAGTTTTTGATTGCTCAAACTCTGAATTTACACTTTCACATTGGACTTTAAAAATTCATGGTTGGTGGAATGGGCTTTTTGTTAGGTTTATTGTAGCAGGTTCTTTACATTATATTTTAAGGAAAATCAGATCAAAGGAGGCTGTACTAGGCTTCTCGAGTAGGCAATGTTATCTTTTTTTTATAGTTCCAAAATGAATTCTTAATTTAGTTATGAAATTTATTCGCTTGTCCCATGTCAGAAGCTTTTTCATGGTTACCATGGATTCACAACAAGTATTTTTCTATAGGACTTCAATCAAATATGTTGGTAATAGGATAGGGTAAGAAAAGGATAATAATCTAAGCAGGTAATTCTGACTACCACTGCACTATATGAGTATGAGAAAGGAATCTCAAGTTCACACAGCAGGTCTCAGTTCCTGATTAATCCTAATATCACGTTTTCTAGGTGACCTTAAGCAATGTTCCAAACAAAAGAACTATGAAGCTTCTTATTTTATTTAAGTTGTATTTGTGTCATTAGCCACACTGTTTTTTAAAAGAAAGGTGTTAATAAGTCCATGTCAAAAAGGACCCAGAAGCCAAGATCATGCAATGGAGAATTTAAACAAGTGTTGTGAAAGCAAGCAAGGGCATAGAAAGAAATCTGCCTCGACTTGGGGCACCTGAGTTAGTGAAGGTCCAGGAGAAAGTGGCAGGTGCTCACTGGGTAGAGTACCAGCAGAAAGTTCAGTACCCACTGACAGCACCTACAGACAATGGAGGAAAATTTAAGTCCATGAGACATTAATAATAAAGACTGCATTACTAAAAAGCACAGCAACTAATTTCAATGGGTAAGCCTAAGAATAAAATGTTATCTAGTTAAAGTGTGGTAATCCACAGTTTACACTCTGGTATGTCCTCAATAAAGAACATCATAATATTATGATATTATCATATGGGCTATTATGAAATATACATGAAACAAATAAAATAGAGTAAAAGGTTATTCCCTAGGGAAAAGAACAGCACTAAGCCTATATGCATATTAGGGGCACAGTCCAGACTTTTAGGGGTGGGGGCTATATTGTGAATTGTAACTAAGGGTTTCATACTTGGTTATGTCCACTGTCCTTTTTGAGACAGGATCTTGCTAGTCCACTATGCTGCTCCTGCCTCAGCCTCCCAAGAGTGCTGGGATTACAAGTGTGTGCCATGACGCCTGAACTATCCAAGTATTTTTGAGCCATTTATCTGATATAATATCATCAGGCTTTTTTTGAGCTTGCCAGGCAGGTGCTGTGCTGCTGAGCTATATCCCCAGCCCCTTCATCAGGCTTTGGTAGGAAAAATAAGACATTTCTAAGAAAACAGAGGTTGGTTTACAAATAACCAAAGGATAGGTCCGATAAAAAAGACATCAAAAATCTGATACTACCAAGTAAATTCCATTTTGAGTGAAGACTATTCAGATGGTTCCTGACTTATGGCTCAATTTAAAAATTGATTTATGATGCTGTAAAATAAATATGCATTTAGCAGATGTTGTCCATCAAATTAAGAAAAAGAAATTGGGGGGGGTGCTTTGGAGATGGGGCTTGTTCCAATTCCTGGGCTCAAGTGACCCTCCCACCTTAGATTTTTTGGCTTTTGTATTGAGTTGTATTTCCAGCCCTTTTTTCTCTCTCTCTTTTTTTTGGTACTGGCAACTGAACTCATGACCTCTTGCTTGCCAGGCAGGTGCTGTGCTCTTTTTTGTTCTTTTAAAGATAGGGTCTCACTAAATTACATGGGCCGGGCTCAAACTTGTGATTGTCCTGCCTAGTCTCCCACAGTGCTGGCCACCCATAGCCTCTTGAGGAGCTGAGACTGCAGCGCACACACCACCATAAAATTTTGAATTTTTATCTACCCTCAAGCTAACAAAATGTTGTATGAGATGTCTTTTGTGATGCTGGGCAGTGACAGTAAGCCACAGCTTTGTCAGTCATATTGTCATAAAGACAAACAACTGATACCCTACAGTGTTCAGTGTTGTTAAACTACAATGTCCAGTTAGATTAAGCATAATAAATGCATTTTTGACATCTGCAATTTTAAATTTCAGGATGGGTTTATAGGGACTTCACCCAATGTAAAGCTGAGAAACATCTGTATTACTCCACTGTGAAAAATAGCTCACATCAATAACAATGCAGACAGATGGCTGAAGCATGTAAGTCAGTAGACATAATGAGATTAGAGAGGCTGAAGATAGCAGAATGAGAAGATATCTAACACAGCAGAATCAGAAACATTCTAGCTATTTTATCCTAGAATGAGATGATTTCCTCTTCCTCTATATCACTTTTATCATCAACTTTCAATTTTTTTTGTTTTTGTGTTTGTTTTTCTTCCGGTACCAGGAATCAAACTCACAACTTTGCGCTTGCCAGGCAGGTGCTTTGCTGCTGAGCTAAATCCCTAGCCCCTCAATTTTTAAAAAATAGCAAATTGTACATGTGTGGAATCTACCAAAAGCAGAAAATGTGCTTCATTCTCTGGTGAAATAAGTGATGAATTACTGTTATTATAAAGATTGTGCCAACAGACACTTTTACCTTTCTTTTGGGGTAAAATTTCTTTGGTTTATCCCAATTTTAGGGAAATTCCTGTATTTTACCTGAAAATTATATATTCTTAGGAAATTGTGCAATATTAACTAACCCCCAAATTCTGCCATACCTTAAAAAAAAGTAAGAAAAATCCTGTGTTCAAGGTACATACATTCTAAAATTACCATCAGTTTAAAACTGAGTATATTTATTATTGGATTACTTCCAAGGCTGAGTTGAAGAATGCAATTAGGGGGAAAAAGGAGCAATCATATTTACCTATTTTGAAATAAGAATCTTACCGGAGCCTTAGTTAAAGATGGCTTTGAGGGAGCAGTTCCGGGTTTCACTCCTGATGCTGTGGTGACTGGGGCTGAAACATAGGTCCCTGGAGCAGAAACTTGCCCAGGTGTGACCACTGGCATAACTGACAAACCGGTTGTTCCTAATGGCAAACTGGTTGGTGGTAAGCAAGTACTTGTAGTGGAAGTCATGAGTTTGCTTGGTGCGACAGCAGTGGTTGGGATGCCTGGTGTGACAGTGGTCTCTACTACTAGCGATGTTTCTAGTGAGACAGGAGCATGCTGAGTTCCAGATGAGCTGTGTTCACTAAAGAGAGACCGCAGCTTTTCCTCCAGAGTTTTTATGTCATCAATCCCAGGAGCTTTGGGTTGGGTATCAGTATCTATTTCTGGACAGTGGGAATGGGGCTGGTTGAGAAGCAAGGCTGGCTGTGGCTGACTATGAATGAGTGTCTGCTGCACAGCAGGCACACTGGAAACAGGCTGTACCAAGGGTGGGATACTTGGTACTTGAGGTAATAAAGGTGTAGACGTAGGTACTGCTGCCTGGGGAAGGACAAGAGTAGAAGCCACAACTGATGGGATGGCCAAAGGATGCAGCCCACCAGGTTGAGGGATAGAACTAGCCACTCCTGTTCCAGGGGAGGAAGAAGATGGTGCAGAGAAGGACAAAGCCAACCCAGCTGTACTGCTATCAGGTGTTTTGTCTAGTGAGTGTGCACTAACCACCACTGCTTCAGCTAGAGTAGTAGTAGAGGTGCTGCTGCTAAGCTGAAGAGATGGCTGTGAAACTATGCTTGTGAGTGGAGTGGTAACAGAAACTGATGTTACTGAGCCTGCCCCAGTAGTACTACCTGCTGCCTGCTGAGATAACACAGTTGGAGGCTTGGGGCCTGAGGCAGCTGTACCGCCTAAGGCAGAGGTTGAAGTCGTTGAAACTGTTATAGAAGGAAAAGTGACTGTACTAGGAACAATGCTCCCAGATGTGGAGGCCTGAACTGGCTGGGATGTGGTAGGCACTGAGACAACTGCAGGTACAGTGATGTTTGATACCACACCAGAAAATATTGGTGACTCAGACACAGGGGGTTCAGGAGGACCACTTGAAGTTACCGCACTTGTGCTGGTGACAACTCCAGCAATCCCCTTTTCAGTGGGTACTATAACCTCAGGCTGTATTACTGATGTGGAAATGTCATTAAGAGGGCTGCTTGTTATAGGGACTGACAGTGAAGGTGTGGGTGCTGCAGTGGTTGGAGGTCCTACAGCAGCACCACCAAAAAAGGGAGGAAATGTTGGTCCTGTTTGACTAAAGTTTGGAGGTGCTGTACTGGGTCCTTCAGTCATTTGAGCACGTCTAAGTTCAGAAAATGCCTGCTGGAGACTGAGGGATGAGGCAGAGTGAGATAAGTTCATTCCAGGGCCCTGAGAAGCAGAGGCAGCAACTGCAAAGAAAAACAAACATATGAACCAACCCATTTAAAAAAGACAGGTTCAGAAGACTGTTATAATAACCTAGTTTTAGACCTCTAACAGTGCCATATATCAACAAAGTTTAAAAAATTTCCCAAGGAAATAACTGGCTCTAAAACAGCAAAGTCAAGTAATAGTTTGATCAAATAAGTCAGTGTATATGAATATCTATTTTTGGAAAACAAACAAACAAACATGGAATAACTTGAAAACATGTGTGGTAGTTCTAAATTCAGAAACAAACACATACTACAGTATCTACTTCACAGGTCATATCCAGTATGGCTAACTTTTCATTTAACCCTATTTATCTACTTCCCTCCATGTCTGCTGTTTAGAGAGGCTGTAGGATTTACATAACTGTGTGGCAGAATCAGTCTTTACCTGTATCTGATATTTCACTGGTGAAAACTTTTGACTCTCGTAATCGACTTTCTGGTACAGGACTTACTATAAATCTCCTTCCAGCTGAATGAACAACTTGAGTTAAAGAACTAGCAGGAACACCTTGACAAGAAGAAACAAACCACTTAATTGTATCATTATTCCATGTATTGTTACCAACACAATATTAGAAGGGTTCATTACTGGTGCACAAAACTTAAAGGTTAAAAGCAAGGAAAGAAATTCACCTATTTGCTGTGGCATGGAAGATGCAGGAATTGGTTGTTTGAACTCTCCTTCCAATTTCTACAAAAAACAAAATTAAATTCATTCTGAAATGAAATCCTAATGATTTGGCAAGGCAAATCATCACATCTGAAGAGAATCTGAATGCTTGTTCTTTGTCACAGATGTAATGTGTGATTAGTAGACATTTTGTGTGGTAAAGTTAGCATGGCAGAAATACTTCAAAACCCCTCACAAAGCTTCACTACGGGAATGGTGAACCTACCTGAGAACCTGAAAAGCCATAGTCGTCCTTTCCCTGTAGACTCTCCAGTCCCTGGTCACCCTCTGGTTCCACACTGACATCTTCACTGAGCATTTCATCAGCTTTTTCAATAATTTCCCGTACTTGATCCACAAATGACTCTCTCTCTATTGCTAGAATAAAGTCGTTGTTCACCTATGAAAGAAATGTGGTATCTGATTAGCATGGTATATGTTAAGCTTTAAGTCATTCATCTACCACTTTTGTAACTTCTACTCTACTTGCACATCTACTGTATTACTTTTGTTTTTTTTTTTTTTTTTT